TGATGGCGATGGCAACGCTGGCGACGGGGCCGATGATGGCCGCGCCGCGTCGATGGCGGCGCCCGCGCGTCGTTGATGAGGGGCTGGGGGGATTTCGACGCGCGCGCGGCCGACGTGCTCGAGTGGCCCGCATAATTTGACGCGTCAGGGATCGCCCCCCTCCCGCAGCAAGCGCGAAAGGCGTTCGAGGGATTTCAACGCTTGCGCGCGCGGGCCCGCTTGGTCGGATGTGATGAACATGTTGAAAGGACAATGGGGTTCTGTAAAATTCGCAGGAGCGCGCCAGATATTTTGGGCGTTCGAAGAATTAAGATGAAAACGCGTTGCAACGCCTGTTGTGATTTCCGCGTGTTGTCGGGGAGCGCGATCTTAACGTTTTTGTGGCGCGTTGTGGGTTTTGGCGCATTGCGGCGTGCTTGCGCGACGCCGCCGCGCGTACCGACACTGTTGCCTTTTCGTGGGGGTGCTCGAGCATTGTCCTCGATGAATCTACACGCGCGTATAGTTTAATTTGACAGGGATGAGGGTGGGGGGCGGCAAGAGCACCCCCATCGGGGTGGCGTGAATTCATTTCTAGGATGAACGGCGGGGCATCATCGTATTAAACTGTATTGTTCCAGAGGGAAACGATGAATGGGGGGCGGGGTATATGCGTCTGAGAGGAGAATTGACGCGGTGCAACTTGTGTGGCGCAGGTTCACACTGCCGAGCGTGACGTTGTCAATTCCACTGCTCGCGCAATCGCCATTCGCCCGCCCGCAACTTGGTCTGCAAAACCCACGCGGCGGCAATTGCCATGACTGCTCGGCGCTGGCTGGCGCATCGCTGCGGCCGCGCTAGCGCGCGCAGGTTCGATCGCAGAGCGGTCAACTAGTCTGGCTCGACCCGCGCGGCCGCGGTGGCGCTGGCCGGCGAGTCTTGCATGCCGGGTTGACGCGCGGGCACTTCTATGCGAGTCGGTGGCTTTGGCGGGCGCGGTATCATGGCGACGTCGACGACGGCGGACGCGACGATTGTAGTGGCGATTCTGGCGACGATGGTGACAAGGGCGACGGCGAGGTTCATGATTGTGCCGATGCTGATTGCGCCGACTACGATGATGGTTGTGTCCATGTGTCAGTGATGGGAGCTTCCAAGATGCGCGTGCGGCCGACGGACGCGAGCGGCCCGCGTCGCATTTTTGGAAAGGGCTCGCGCCCGCCCAAGCACGCGCGCAAGGGCGTTTGAATGATGTCGAGATGCGCACGCGAGGGGCCCGTTTGCTCGCAGTTTTTCGTGTATCTATATATATATATATATACACACACACGCATGTGCATGCGCATATGTATCGGCATGTGTCTATCTGTATACATGTGTGGATGTATGTATATATGCATGCATATGGGTTCGGGGCTCTCGATCTCTTTGAAGCCGCGTATCTTGAAATGTTTAAGCATGCGCGACGCTCCGCGCGTGTGGACTCTCTCACATGTAAAGAAGGATCATTGCACATGTTTACTATATGATTAACGCGTGCGCGCGCATCGTATTCTTTGACATGGACGGGGGGGTTCAGGCTGGGATCATGCGAACTCATATTTGAACGATTGGGGCATAATCATGTGTAATGCTGAACGCTGCGCGTATCCCCACCAGCCTGGCATGTTGTCAGGACTGCACGTTGCCCGAGCTTCCCTGGGTGCCTTCAGCCAGTCTGCCCTCGCCGTGCAGCTCAGCCGTTGCCTTGTGAGCTAGCCCGGCCGGCCTGCTTCGCGCCTAGCAGCTAATTGGGTATGTTTCCGCGCCCCGGACAGCTTCTGTCTCCGCCTGCGCTTTCGCTCGCGGACGCGACCAAAAACATATTCCCCACCGGCCCGTGCAGAAATGAGTCCCAAGGGAGTGGAGGTGATGAGGGGAACGGGGGAGCATGCAAAATAACAAAGGGCGGGGTAAGCCGCCATATGCCCCAAGAGGGAGAGGATGTAGGAGGAGTCGTCGTCGTCGTCGGAGTAGGAGGAGGAAACGGAGGAGCAGGAGGAGGAGCAGGAGGAGGAGGGGGAGGAGGAGGAGGAGGAGGAGGAGGAGGAGGAGGAGGAGGAGGAGGAGGAGGAGGAGGAAAATGAGGCGGAGGAGATGGAGGAGGGCGAGGACGTGGAGGACGAAAAGGAGGAGAAGGAAAAGGACGAGGAGGAGAAGGAGAGGGAAGGGGAGGAGGGAGGAGGAAAAATCAGAGGAGGAGGAGGAGGAGGAGGACGAGGAGGTTGAGGAGGAGGACGAGGAGGAGGACGAGGAGGAGGAGGAGGAGGAGGAGGAGGAGGAGGAGGAGGAGAAGGAGGAGGAGGAGGACGACAATGGCGAGTTTGGGGGCCTTTTGGGCCGTCTTTGGGGCCTCTTGGCGGTCCCAGGGGCGTCTTGCGTATCTCGGGGAGCCTCTTGGGTCCTCGTGGGGGTCTCTTGGGAGCCTTTGGGAGGCCTCTGCGGCGCCTCTTGGGGCCTCTTGGGGCCCTTTGGGGCGCTCTTGGGAGCTTTCGGGGCGCTCTTGGGGCCGTGTTGGAGGAGATCTATCAAAGAAGGGGGGAGTGGGAATTGGAATTAGCGCTGCCCCTCTAGAGTGCCTCGAATCGCCTCTTGGGCCCCAAAAAGAGGCCAAAATCCTTTCAAACCTAAGGAAATCAACATGTTTTGGTTTTCTCGCCTTTTCGCTCTTGGAGCCGTCTTGGGCCATCTTGGACGCCCCAACGACCCGCGGAACCCTCCGTCCAGGTCCTGGGTAGGGGGTAGGGGGAGGGGTCAAGTTACCCCCTCCCCGCCCGCAAGCCGTCCCGCTCACTCCCACCCGCCCTCCCAACACATACGTAGCACCCGAGTCTGGCCCGAGCCTCAGCATATTCAGCAGTCGTCTTGGGATGGGCAGCTACTGGGGGCCAATCCGCCGCCGCCGCCGCCGCTTCCGCCGCCGCCGCCGCCGCCGCCGCCGCCGCCGCCGCCGCCGCCGCCACCCCCCCTGCCGCCGCCGCCGCCTCCGCCGCCGCCGCCGCCGCCGCCCCCCGCTGCCAAACCGCCGCCGCCGCCGCAGCCGCAGCCGCCACCGCTACCGCCGCCGCCGCCGCCGCCGCCGCCGCCGCCGCCGCCGCCCCCCTGCCGCCGCCGCCGCCGCCGCAGCCGCCGCAGCCGCCGCCACCGCCGCCGCAGCCGCCGCCGCCGCCAAGTGTACTCTGTATTGGTTTTGACAGGGATGGTGGGGCGGGGGGGCCGCATCGGGTTGGCTGCGCATGTTCCGAATTTGGAGAGGGTGTGTTTTGTATTGTCTTTTGCAAGGGATGGTGTGGGGGGGTTGGCATGGACCCTGGTTGGCCCCCAGTCGCCTGGGGGAGGGGGTGTTTATTTACAGTGGTACAGTGGTAAACCCCTCCCCGAAGGGGAAGAACGGGGTTGGCAGAGGAAACTCTCTAGACTACCGACGCCCAGAGGGCTGCTGGGATTTGCAAAACTTCCCTGGGGGTGCGGATAAGACTGGGGGGCGGGGGAATCCATGAAGGAACCCATGTGGTGCCATTCGCCCTGCCGAAGTTGAAGTTATCAACTCCAAGGCCAGCTTGCTCGGCTCTGCCTGGTGCATGGCTGCGTCTGCGCTGGCGCGCGCAGTTTGCGCGCGGACCGACCAACTATTGTTGCGCGACCGACGCGGGCGCGGTTGGTCACACTGGCGACTGCAAGGCAAAAGAAGGTGCCGATGTTGATTACGCCAAGGACGGTGATGCCGTCCACGTGTCGGCGATGAAGGTTTTGGGACGATTTCGAAATGCGCGCGCGGCCGACGGGCGAGACGGGGTCGCGTGGTATCATTTGACCGGACTCATGCCCCCCCGCCACGCTCGCAAGGGCGTTCAAATGATTTCGACATGCGCGCGCGAGAGGCCCGTGTGGTCGTGTGGACAACTCCGTGGAAATCCGACATTTTTTTATGACCGACCGGGCTCAAATACATGTTTTTCAATGTTGTCGGGATTTCTATATTGAAATCAGCGTGCGAGTGCGACGCCGCGCGCGTGGATGTTGTGTTCATTTGTGCAAAAGGAGTCTTGAACGTCAATGGTTTTTGATAAGCGAGTGTGCGCGAATACAATTATTTGGCGATGATGATGGGAGGCGATGCCAGCTTGGCTGGGGTGGTACGAATTTGTATCTAGAATTACAGGTGGGGCACAATCGCATGTACATTGTATTACTCCAAGAGGAAGCGATAAGACCACGGGGAATGTTATGGTAGATCCCAACTTTTGTAGAAATTGGAACCCATGTTGCACAATCTGGGCGGCGACGGGATGGGCGGCGGCGGCTCGACGACGGCGACGGGCTGGCGACGGCGACGGCATAGCCACCAGGCCGGTTGGGCCAAATTCTTTGGAAAAATGAGAGCCCCGAAGTGCAAACATTGTTTGGGGCATGTGACAAGAAACGCGCGAATGATTGTTGCTACGGTCTGAACACACGCCGATGTCAACATTACCTTAATTATGCTGCCATCGAGGACGGGCGTGTGCCCGACCAGCGCGCACTTTTGCATCCAACATGTCATCAACAGGGGCCGTCCCACACCATGAGCCAAATGCCGCCGACACCCTTCCTTTTCCTTGGACCACGACCTAAACAGTGCATTAGCTACTTGGGAGGAATGGGTATCATCGCTGTCGACTCCGAGGGGAATGGGGTTAACGGGTGGGTGCGCCTCCTATTACTTACAGAAAACCTACAAGGCAGCAAACAAGCATTCAGACACACCCGGACGTGTCGCTGACCCCGTGGCACATGGTTTGCATCGAAATGCCAAGCACCAAACACACCAGTGTAACCATTCTCGGTCGGGCATCATCAACAATTTCCGTACAACGAGAAGTAGAAATCGCATTGGCAAGCCAATCGACCGAATAACCATGGGGGTTCACTTAGGCTCCACGCCTTCCTGTTCACCAGTATCATACCACTTTAATAAAATTGGCGTCGAGGAAACAATGCAGGCGGGCAATGCCACGTTGACCAGCAGCAGCAGCACTAGCACGTTCAGCACCACGACTGGGACCAGCACCAGTGCAACCAACATCACGGAGAGCAGCAGTACGATTCTGACGTCCACGAGTCAGACGAGTCCTGTCTCGGGTACCACGTCGTTTACCACCACGACGGGCACAAGCAGCGCATCGCTGAGCAGCACGACGGAGAGCAGCAGTACGTCTGTGACGTTCACGAGTGAGACGAGTACTGTCTCGACTACCATTTCGCTGACCACCACGACGAGTACCAGCAGCTTAACTGTGAGCCGTACGACGGAGAGCAGCAGTACGACTCTGACGTTCACGAGTCAGACGAGTACTGTCTCGAGTGCCACGTCCTTTACCACCACGACGGGTACCAGCAGCGCATCGCTGAGCAGCACGACGGAGAGCAGCAGTACGTCTGTGACGTTCACGAGTGCGACGAGTAGTGGCTCGAGTACCACGTCGTTGACCACCACGACAAGCACCAGCAGCTCGACGATGAGCGGTACGACAGAGAGCAGCAGCATGACCTTGACGTCCACGACGAGTGGGACGAGTACTGTCTCGAGTAGCACGTCGTTGACAACCACGACGAGCACCAGCACGACGACGACGAGCACCAGCACCACCACGACCACATCGCTGACCACCACGTCGTTTACCACCACGACGGAGAGCAGCAGGACGACTCTGACGTCTACGAGTGAGACGAGTAGTGGCTCGAGTACCACGTCGTTGACCACCACGACGAGCACTAGCAGCTTGACGTTGAGCAGTACGACAGAGAGCAGCAGCTTGACGTTGAGCAGCACGACGGGGACCAGCACAACGACCCTGACGTCTGCGAGTAAGACGAGCAGTCTCTCGAGTTTGACGTCGCTTACCTCCACGACGAGCACCAGCATCTCGACGCTGAGCAGCACGACGGAGAGCAGCAGCACGACTCTGACGTCCATGAGTGAGACAGGTAGTGTCTCGAGTACCACGTCGTTGACCACCACGACGAGCACCAGCAGCACATCGCTGAGCAGCACGACGGAGAGCAGCAGTACGTCTGTGACGTTCACGAGTGAGACGAGTAGTGGCTCGAGTACCATGTCGCTTACTTCCTCGACCGGTACCAGCAGCTCGACGTTCAGCAGTACGACAGAGAGCAGCAGCTTGACGTTGAGCATCACGACGGGGACCAGCACAACGACGCTGACGTCTGTGAGTGAGACGAGCAGTGTCTCGAGTACGGTATCGCTGACCTCAACGACGGTTACTAGCGTCTCGACGCTGAGCAGCACGACGGAGAGCAGCAGTACGTCTGTGACGTTCACGAGTGCGACAAGTAGTGGCTCGAGTACCACGTCGTTGACCACCACGACAAGCACCAGCAGCTCGACGATGAGCGGCACGACGGAGAGCAGCAGTACGACTCTGACGTCCACGAGTCAGACGAGTACTGTCTCGAGTAGCACGTCGTTGACCACCACGACGGGCACCAGCAGCGCATCGCTGAGCAGCACGACGGAGAGCAGCAGTACGTCTGTGACGTTCACGAGTGAGACGAATACTGTCTCGAGTACCATTTCGCTGACTTCCTCGACAGGTACCAGCAGCTTAACTTTGAGCGGTACGACAGACAGCAGCAGCACGACACTGACGTCTGTGAGTGAGACGAGTAGTGGATCGAGTACCACTTCGCTGACCACCGCGACGGGTACCAGTACCACTACGTTGAGCAGCACGACTGAAAGCAGCAGCTTGACGTTGAGCAGCACGACGGGGACCAGCACAACGACCCTGACGTCTGCGAGTGAGACGAGCAGTATCTCGAGTACGACGACGTTGAGCAGCACGACGGGGACCAGTACTACTACCGGGACGTCAACGAGTGAGACAAGTAGTGGCTCAAGTACCACGTCTCTGAGCAGCACCACTGGCACAAGCAGCGCGACTTTTACCACCACGACGGAGAGCAGTAGCTTGACAGTTAGCAGCACGACGTCGAGCAGCACCACGACTCTGACGTCCACGAGTCAGACGAGTAGCGTTTCGAGTACCACGTCGCTGACCACCACGACGCACACCAGCAGCACGACGGGGACCAGCGCTTCGGAGAGCAGCAGCACGACTCTGACGTTCACGAGTGAGACGAGTAGCGTTTCGAGCACAACGTCTCTCAGCAGCGCGAGCGGTACAAGCAGCACGACGTGGAGCAGCACGACGGAGAGCAGCAGTACGACTCTGACGTCCACGAGTGAGACGAGTAGTGGATCGAGTACCACTTCCCTGACCACCGCGACGGGTACCAGCAGCTTGACTTCCAGCAGCACGACGGAGAGCAGCAGCACGACTCTCACGTCGACGAGTGAGACGAGCAGTGGCTCGAGTACAACGTCACTGACCACCACGACGGAGACCAGCAGCACGACGGAGAGCAGCAGTACGTCTGTGACGCTCACCAGTGAGACAAGTACTGTCTCGAGTACCATTTCGCTGACTTCCTCGACCGGCACCAGCAGCACGACGATGAGCAGCATGACCGAGAGCAGCAGCACGACACTGACTTCCACGAGTGAGACGAGTAGTGGCTCGAGTACCACGTCGTTGACCACCACGACGGGTTCCAGCAGCACGACGTTGAGCAGCACGACCGAGAGCAGCAGCACGACGTTGAGTAGCACGACGTGGACCAGCACTTCTACCCGGACGTCAACGAGTGAGACAACTAGCGAATCAAGCACCACGTCTCTGAGCAGCCACACTGGTACCAGCAGCACGACTTTAACCACCACTACGGAGAGCAGCAGCTCAACGGTCAGCAGCACGACGGATAGCAGCAGCACAACCCTGACGTCCACGAGTCAGACGAGTAGCGTTTCGAGTACCACGTCGCTGACCACCACGACGGGCACCAGCAGCACGACGTGGAGCAGCACGACGGAGAGCAGCAGTACGTCTGTGACGCTCACCAGTGAGACAAGTACTGTCTCTAGTACCATTTCGCTGACTTCCTCGACCGGCACCAGCAGCACGACGATGAGCAGCATGACCGAGAGCAGCAGCTCGACACTGACGTCCACGAGTGAGACGAGTAGTGGATCAAGTACCACGTCCCTGAGCACCACGACGGGTACCAGCAGCACGACGTTGAGCAGCACGACCGAGAGCAGCAGCACGACGTTGAGTAGCACGACGTGGAGCAGCACTTCTACCCCGACGTCAACGAGTGAGACAACTAGTGAATCAAGTACCACGTCTCTGAGCAGCCACACTGGTACCAGCAGCACGACTTTAACCACCACTACGGAGAGCAGCAGCTCAACGGTCAGCAGCACGACGGATAGCAGCAGCACAACCCTGACGTCCACGAGTCAGACGAGTAGCGGCTCGAGTACCACGTCGCTGACCACCACGACGGGCACCAGCAGCACGACGTGGAGCAGCACGACGGAGAGCAGCAGTACGTCTGTGACGCTCACCAGTGAGACAAATACTGTCTCGAGTACCATTTCGCTGACTTCCTCGACCGGCACCAGCAGCACGACGATGAGCAGCATGACCGAGAGCAGCAGCTCGACACTGACGTCCACGAGTGAGACGAGTAGTGGCTCGAGTACCACGTCGTTGACCACCACGACGGGCACCAGCAGCACGACGTTGAGCAGCACGACCGAGAGCAGCAGCACGACGTTGAGTAGCACGAGTGAGACGAGTAGTGGATCAAGTACCACGTCCCTGAGCACCACGACGGGTACCAGCAGCACGACGTTCAGCAGCACGACGGAGAGCAGCAGCACGACTCTCACGTCGACGAGTGAGACGAGCAGTGGCTCGAGTACCACGTCGCTGACCACCACGACGGGCACCAGCAGCACGACGTTGAGCAGCACGACGTCGAGCAGCACCACGACTCTGACGTCCACGAGTGAGACGAGCAGTAGCTCGAGTACCACGTCGCTGACCACCACGACGGGCACCAGCAGCACGACGTTGAGCAGCACGACGGAGAGCAGCAGCACAACGCTGACATCCACGAGTCAAACGAGTAGTGGTTCAAGCACCACGTCGCTGACGTCCTTGACCGATTCCAGCAGCTCGACTTTGAGCAGTACAACGGAGAGCAGCAGTACGACTCTGACGTCCACGAGTGAAACGAGTAGTGGCTCGAGTACCACGTCAATGAGCAGCACCAGCGGCACCAGCAGTACAACTCTGAGCAGCACGTCGTTGAGCAGCACGACGGGTACCAGCACGACGGAGAGCAGCAGTACGACTCTGACGTCCACGAGTGAGACGAGCAGTGGCTCAAGTACCACGTCTCTAAGCAGCACAACGGATACCAGCAGCACGACGATGAGCAGCACGACGGAGAGCAGCAGCACGACTCTGACGTCCACCAGTGAAACGAGTAGTGGCTCGAGTACCACGTCGCTGACCACCACGACGGGCACCAGCAGCACGACGCTGAGCAGCACGACCGAGAGCAGCAGCACAACGCGGACGTCCACGAGTCAAACGAGTAGTGGTTCAAGCACCACGTCGCTGACGTCCTTGACCGATTCCAGCAGCACGACGTTGAGCAGCACGACGGAAAGCAGCAGCACGACTCTGACGTCCACGAGTGCTACGAGTAGTGGCTCGAGTACAACGTCACTGAGCAGCACGACGAGAACTAGTAGCACGACGTTGAGCAGCACGACGGAGAGCAGCAGCACGACTTTGACATCTACCAGCGAGACGAGTAGTATGTCAAGCACCACGTCGCTGAGCAGCATGACCAGTACTAGCAGCACGACGTCGAGCAGCACCACGACTCTGACGTCCACGAGTGAGACGAGTAGTGGCTCGAGTACCACTTCTCTGACCACCACGACGGGCACCAGCAGTACGACATTGAGCAGCACGACGGGGACCAGCACGACGGGGAGCAGCAGCACGACTTTGACGTCCACGAGTGAGACAAGCAGTGGCTCGAGTACGACGTCACTGAGCAGCACGACGGATACCAGCAGCTTGACTTCCAGTAGCACGACGGAAAGCAGCAGCACGACTCTGACGTCCACGAGTGCGACGAGTAGTGGCTCGAGTACCACGTCGCTGAGCAGCACGACGAGAACTAGTAGCACGACGTTGAGCAGCACGACGGAGAGCAGCAGCACGACCCTGACATCTACCAGCGAGACGAGTAGTATGTCAAGCACCACGTCGCTGAGCAGCATGACCGGTACTAGCAGCACGACGTCGAGCAGCACCACGACTCTGACGTCCACGAGTGAGACGAGTAGTGGCTCGAGTACCACTTCTCTGACCACCACAACAGGCACCAGCACCACGACGTTGAGCAGCACGACGGAGAGCAGCAGCACAACGCTGACATCCACGAGTCAAACGAGTAGTGGTTCAAGCACCACGTCACTGACGTCCTTGACCCACTCCAGCAGCTCGACCTTGAGCAGCACGACATTGAGCAGCACCACGACTCTGACGTCCACCAGTGAGACGAGTAGTGGCTCGAGTACCACTTCTCTGACCACCACGACGGGCACCAGCAGTACGACATTGAGCAGCACGACGGGGACCAGCACGACGGGGAGCAGCAGCACGACTTTGACGTCCACGAGTGAGACAAGCAGTGGCTCGAGTACGACGTCACTGAGCAGCACGACGGATACCAGCAGCTTGACTTCCAGTAGCACGACGGAAAGCAGCAGCACGACTCTGACGTCCACGAGTGCGACGAGTAGTGGCTCGAGTACCACGTCGCTGAGCAGCACGACGAGAACTAGTAGCACGACGTTGAGCAGCACGACGGAGAGCAGCAGCACGACCCTGACATCTACCAGCGAGACGAGTAGTATGTCAAGCACCACGTCGCTGAGCAGCATGACCGGTACTAGCAGCACGACGTCGAGCAGCACCACGACTCTGACGTCCACGAGTGAGACGAGTAGTGGCTCGAGTACCACTTCTCTGACCACCACAACAGGCACCAGCACCACGACGTTGAGCAGCACGACGGAGAGCAGCAGCACAACGCTGACATCCACGAGTCAAACGAGTAGTGGTTCAAGCACCACGTCGCTGACGTCCTTGACCCACTCCAGCAGCTCGACCTTGAGCAGCACGACGTTGAGCAGCACCACGACTCTGACGTCCACCAGTGAGACGAGTAGTGGCTCGAGTACCACTTCTCTGACCACCACGACGGGCACCAGCAGCACGACGGGGAGCAGCACTACGACTTTAACATCTACGAGTGAGACGAGCAGTGGATCGAGTACCACGTCGCTGAGCAGCACGACTGGCACCAGCAGCACGTCTGTGAGCAGCAGCACGACCTTGACGTCCACGAGTGGGACCAGCACCACGACGGGTACAAGCAGCACGACGGGGAGCAGCACGACTATGAGTAGCAGCACGAGTCTGACAACAACTGAGAGCAGCAGCACGACTCTGACGTCCGCGAGTGAGACGAGTAGTGTCTCGAGTACCACGTCGCTGAGCAGCACGACGAGAACTAGCAGCACGACGCTGAGCAGCACGACTCTGAGCAGCAGCACCACTCTGACAACCACGAGTGAAACGAGCACCACGTCTCTGAGCAGCATCACCGTCAGCAGCAGCACGTCGCTGAGCAGCAGCACGACGTTGTCTTCCACGACGTTGTCTGCCACGAGCAGCACGTCCTTGTCTGCCACGACGGGTAGCAGCACTACCACCACGTCGACCAGCACGACGGGAAGCAGCATCACGCTGAGTAGCACGACTCGCAGCAGCAAGACAGATAGCAGTTCCACGACGTTGAGCAGCACGACGTGGAGTAGCCTTAGCAGCCTGACTTTCACGAGTGAGACGGGCACTCGAACGAGTACCACGTCTTCCAGTAGCGCGACGGAGAGCAGCAGCACGACTGTGAGCAGCACAACTGTTTCCAGCAGTAGCACCCTGAGTTCCACTAGTGCCAGCAGCAGTGTAACACGAAGCACAGCGAGTAGCACCTTTTCGGAGAGCAGCAGCACGACGCTGACTTCCACGAGCGCTACCAGCAGCAGCACGCTAAGCAGCACGACTGGTACTAGCAGCACAACTCGATCGAGCAGTACGATATCGAGCACGGCTACGTCAACTTCCGTCAGCACTACCACATTGTCCAGCACATGGACGCTATCTTCCACGTCGACGCTCTCTTCATCCACGGTTTCCAGCTCAAGCACCGTGTCCAGTACCACGGTTTCAACCACATCGGAAACCAGTTCCAGTCTCACGTCGGAGACCAGCACCTCCACAACGACTGTGCAAATCGTCAACACGATCAGGGGAACGATGGAGCTCAGTGTTTCCGACCCCGCAGCTTTCGCGAGCGATGCGGCTGCCGTGGCTGCCGTGACGGACAGCATCGCCAGCCTGGTGAGCGTGGCGGCGAGCCAGGTGTCCGTGACCTTGAGCGCCGTGAGGAGGCTTGGCCCGAAAGTGCCGGCGCAGTCTTCGGCCAAGGCGACACGGCTATCCTCCGTGCAGGCTGCCTACAGCATCACGACCGTCGGTGGGCCAGGCACCACTGCAGATACCAACTCGAACATCCTTCTTGCGCTGACCGCCTCGGACGCCACGTCGGCCATGCAGAACTTGACCACGCAAAACCTCGAAAGCCAGGGTTTGAGCTACGCACTGACGGTGGAGAGTTTCAGCACGCCAGTGTTCGATAGCATAACACTTACGATGACGTCGACGACCACGACATTGAGCATCACCAGCACAACAAGCGTATCAACTGCATCGGGCACATCGTCAGTGACCACCTGGACCTCCACCACCACCATCAGCACGCTTACCACCTCCTCCACCACAACTTCGACCACCACGACTTCGACCACCACATCCACATCCACTACGACTTCGACGACGACCACAATCGGTGCCGTGTCTGTTGTCGCAATCCCCACAGAACTGAATTCCTGCAACTCTCTGTTCGTCCACGCTGCGCTACCAGACGACACGACCGCTTTGACATGGTCGTGTGAGCCGTCTAATTCCAAGCTGTGCGCCAACATCTTATCCGTGGCTACAGCAGGCGCGGTCGTGTCCACGCTACAAGTCTCGAGTGACCTTGTCTCTGACGCGGCGGCAGAGGATGCAGATCTTATTTTTCCAGTGTCCGTGTGGCTGCAAGCGCACGGTCTGAATCAGCACGGAGATCAGTCGCTGGGTTCCACCACCTTCATTTTCGACGCCTTCGGCGGTGGCTCCGTGTCTCTGGTCAAGGCCGCCAGCACCACTGAGTACACGCTGTTGGACGACTACGTGCGCCTCAGTACCAATGTCGTGCTCTGCGACGGCGCCTCGGTCGGGGAGGCCATCGAGATCGCGTGGAGCTGGAGGCCGGTGGTGCAGGGCGGCGACGCGATGTGGACCGGGTGGGCGAACGACGCCGGCGCTGGGCACACGTCCCTCAAGATGCCCGTCGGCGAGCTGGGGGGCGCCGCCGGGGACTTCGAGGTGAAGGCCTCCATCGTCGGCTCCCAGGCGGGGGACGCCATCTTCGAGGTGGTCGTCGGCGACATCCCGCCCCCCGACGCCAGCCTGGTGCTGCCAGCCAGGGCGTCGAAGGACTGCGACTTCTCCCTCGACGCCTCGGGCTCGGCGGACCCCGGCGGGGCGGGCCTGTCCTTCGCGTGGGCCTGCGCGTCCGATGGCGCCTCGGCCTTCGCCGCCTCGGCCGGGGCGGTCGCGGCGTGCAGCGCGGCGGTGGCGGGCGAGTCGGCTGCTGCCATCCGTGTGCCAGGCGGCGCACGGCCGGGAGCAGGAGGCGGAGGAGGGAGGAGGGGACGAGGCGGAGGAGGAGGCTCAGGGCGGGCGGCACGGGCGAGGAGGAGGAGGAGGAGGAGGAGGAGGAGGAGGAGGAGGAGGAGGAGGAGGATACGGCACTAGCTGGAGCGGGCGCGCGGTGCACTTCCCGACGCAGATAGGCGAGGGCGGCAGTGTGCCGTCCGCACGCGCCTGGAAAGATGACCAGCCACCCCACCGAGAGGATCTCGGGCGGCAGGCCCCAGGCACAGCGCGGTGGGTTGAGGGCTTAGGGGAAGTGAGCGAGCCACGGGGAGCACACCGATGAGGGTGCTCCTCTCTCGCGGCTACTAACCCCCAACCCCACTGTTAGATTGGCTCCTCAGGGGCCTGACCCATAAAACTTCAGGGTCATCAGCACGAAGGGGTCGAGGCGCTGGGACTCGCTGGGAGTCCTCACGCGCCTCGTCCGAGGTATGCAATCCCGAGAGAGAAAGACGGCGGTTCCTCTGGGCCCTTTCGCTCAGCTGGTGACCAGGGTTAGAGGAGATGCAATCAACAAAGAGCTGACCCGCCGTACCCGTGGTGAAAAAACACAAGACACACAGAGGCAAACCTTCCCAGGGGCCACCCAAAGCCGATGGCCCCGGGCGGCCTGGGACGGGACGGGTCCATTAGGCAGCAGGGCCTTAGCGGGGAACAAGAGGAGGCCTGGGCCGATGAGATCCTACTCGCCTCCTCTTGTTGGGGCGAAAGGCAGGACCCGACCTAGGAGGCATGGCAGGACTACCCAGGTCGGCTAGAGCTCCAGACTGCACCGTGCCAGTCTCATCCCTAAGAGAAGATACGGGCTCAAAGCCAACCCTCCGCCCCACGTTGCGCTCGGTGTTCTGCGACTCGCTGCGTCGACGGCAGTTGTCATCCCTCACAGGGCGGGGCGAACACACAGTCACTGGACCACTTTCGCAAACGGTGAGCGGGGGGGTGGGAGACCTCGTCCGACTACGAACCGAGCGAAAACTAAGACAGGAGGAGGGGGAGCAGGCAGAGCAGCGTGAGGTTCGAGGCTCACAGCGCTAGGTGGCAAGTCCCCGTTGCCAACCTGGCCGCCCTCAGCGTCGCCCTTGCGCGCGGCATCAGGGGGCCTCTCAGCACCGTGACCCTCGAAACCCTGAGCCCTGGCAGGGCAAGCATCAAGGGAGAGACGGCGATGGGACTCCTCACGCTTAGAACCCTTCTTACAGTACAAACAATGCTGCTCCGCTTGGGCACGGGGGCAAAAACATGCCGTCTGTGGGCCGACTGTTCGATTTCATCAGGGATGAGCCGAGCTGGCGGCCTGAAACGCTTGGGTCGCCTCCTCGGCCTAGTTTCGATACGGTGACCATGGAAAGAAGACTGAAGGGCCTGAACGCCCCACTGCAGAACTCGAGGGTACTGCTTGTGGCCTACCCTCATGGCCTGACTCGGGACCCCAGGGGCAACGTGTAAATCTCTACCGCTGCGGGCAGCAAGGCCAGCCCACCTGTTGCCTATGGCATCGTTGTGCTGTCCACGCTGATGCCCCTTGACTAGGACCACCCTGACATCTTCCCCCACCTCGCCCAGGTCCTGCAGCTTGGCCCATATGCGTTCCCACACATCGACCTTGACACGCCGCGGGGTGCAGCACCAGCTGGGTCCGAGGGCCAGGCCGTCCGGGAGGCCTCTGTAGCCCGTGTGGTCCACAACGGGTGGCGGCAAGCACGGAGAACCTGGAGAAAAGCAACATTTTCGGCCCTGAGCGAGGTCTGCATGGGGCCAGGCAGGGCCCCCCAAACTAAAATGTTAACGCTGTGCCTCGCGGGCTCCCGTAGCTGGCAGAAACCCCATCCAGTTCTGGCAGCCTCTGGCCAATACCAAATCTTTGAACAGGCCCCGTCCGTGTATATGGCCCATGTTATTCCTTGTGGGCCGCCGTACCGAATGTGCCAACGGCTGGAATCATCACGCATAGGAAGTGACGGGAAACAGGAGCGACTGACGAGCCCGCGGGCCCAAAACAGGTTGCCGGGTGTGCTGGCAGGACATCCGGCAAAGTTGATCGAGCCAGAGTACCGACCCCTCGCATTCGCAAGGTGCGGGCAGTCCCAAAGGATGCGGTATAAGCCACAACCCATCTGCGCACACTTCGGGCAAGAGCTGCCGTCTCGATATCCACAGGCCGCCAGTCTAGCAGGCGCCCACAGGCCTCCACTTAGCCAGGCACGCAGAAGGCCTGCCTCCTCGTAGCTGGGGCACCACGTCGCTCGTACATGAAGCTCATCGTCGTCAGCTTCATTATGTGTGGTGTCAGGGGGTACGTCATCATCACCTGTGTCGGTAGGATCAGGCACAGGTGCTCTCGAAAGGAGTTGTGTGATGGACTCCACCCAGGATCCAATAGGTTCACGAGGTCTGGGAGGATCACCAGGGAGCGGGGTCGTCGATACCATCGTTCCCAGAGTCGCCTGACCCCAGCCTCTCAAGCAAGCTGTTTGATAGTAGCAGGCGCAGTAAGCCCCACATCCAAGACAACCCCGAGATCCGTCCCCCAGGAGGTGCTGCTAGTAGTGGCCCATTGGAGATCCTTGAGGGCAAGATGGGTGGCTCCAGCAGGGCCAGCAACATTTCTCCAGGGGGCCTTCGAGTGGTACACCTTCTGGGTTTGCCTAAGCCAGACAGCCTGCAGGATACGCTCTGGGATCATCGGGTCCCTCACCAGAAGGGCCCATTGAAATAACGGGGCGGCCCATGCCTCAATCTGTGGGTCCGTGTACTGAGACCCCTGCATGCAGGATGTTAGCCAACAGGAAGTAGAGGACCCAGCCGAGTGCCATGCAACCCGCTGCACCGACCGCATCTGCTCGACCAATCTGGGTGGGGCACCGTGCACCCCCAGCCCGTGCGTCATCGGAGGCGGGAGGGCCTGCTTGTGAAACTTGCTAAGCAAGGAGCCAGCCTTGCGCAGTGCTTGCAGCCGAGGTCTGCGTCTAGCGACTCCACGTACCCGCTCCCGAGGTTTTGTGTACCTGAGGCGACTTCTATCCCCAGGACCTCCAGGGCTGAGACATAGCAATATCCAAGGTCCCGAAGATAATGAGCAATCCATTGGCCCAACCTGGGCACGGAACTAGTGATCTTCATCTTGTGAGTCGCTGGCGGCAGCCCTAGGGACCGAAGTACATGCACGAGTAGACGTAGCGCCGTGACAGCCCATGTGCTCAAACTGCTGAGTCGTCCGATGATAGATAGCGTAATCTCATCAATATATTATATATATATGTACATACGTATATATATATATGTATATCAATACTCCGTGAAATTTCTGTAATGTGCCTCGCCACCGCGTTAGACGGGGTGAGCATCGCACGCTGCAGCGTAAACCACCGACGAGTAGACATTATCCCACAGCAACCTTCTGGCGCCCATGTACACGCGCAAGGCGAGGATGGGGGGGGCCACCAGGAAAGGAGCGAATGGAATCAGAGCGCAATAGCTTTAGCCAGTGTACCTTGTCAAAACAAGTGGCTATTTCCACAATAGCATGGACGGATGCATGGGCGCTGGGCTGCAAGTGGCATCCTGCTTCAGCGCCAACCAGCACCCGAGCAGCCACATCCGTAGTCGATTGTTGCGCACCTAACGCCAGGTAGGAACGATGTAGTCTGCTAGCCCAAGACCTGACCCAATCCACCCGAGCCTTGGCCCAAAGACGGTCGAGCGATGGTAGTAGGGCAATTGGGTGGCATCCACCAGTGGGCTTCCCCAAGAGGGCCACGTGCACGCGGGGCAGACCGGAGGGCCATGCCCCAAAGGCTTTACACAAGTGCAGAAGATGACACCGGAGAAAAAGCCCAAACAGATTTTTGTTGGGGCTATGGGCTGTAGGGCTATAAAGCTTTAAGGCTATGAGGCTATAGGGCTATTGGGCTATTGGGCTATTGGGCTATAAGGCTATAGGGCTATAAGGCTGTAGAGCTATAGGGCTATAGGGCTATAAGGCTATGGGGCTATCGGGCTGTAGGGCTATAGGGCTATTGGGCTATTGGGCTATAGGTCTATAGGGCTATAGGGCTATGGGGCTATAAAACTATAGGGCTATAGGGCTATTGGGCTATGTGCTACTGGGCTATTGGGCACCCCGGGCACCCGGGCACCCGGGCACCCAGGCCCGGCCACCGAAATCGGCCACGGACCTCACCGGCCATCCGGGCACCCAGGCACCGCCAGGCACCCGGACACCCGGGCACCCGGGCCCGGCCACCGAAATCGGTGACACACCTCACCTAAATTTTTAATCCGCTAGGACCCCTACAGAAGCAAGGTCTGATTGGGGAATAAAGGAATAAACCGAAAGGACAAGGGCGCCATTGGAAGCCAAGGCCCAGTGACGGGGCCTAACTTGATCAGCGCCGGTAGCAGTGCGCTTGGGGAACTGCAGAGCAGCCTGCCCGAGGCTGGAGACTCGCAAAGGTGGGAGCCTCGGACCCTGCCTGCATGGAGCCCTCATCTCCTCAACGAGTTCCCCGTCATCGTCGTCGTGAATGTTTTGCTGAGTTACCGGTGGTTCGCCGTCTCGTCCTTCCCAGACTTCAGCCCGATATCCAGGTTGCACGTCGCAGGTATTTGACACAAAGCTGGGCGGTCCCAAACTTGCATCCACCTGCGACATATTCCACCCCCTAGGTTTTGACCACCTGTGTACTGCACCAGGCTGCTGTCTCAGGTGCGTACGCACCCAAGTAGTGAAAGAACGGGAGCGCGCGGCAGCGAGCCTTCGCTCGTCTCGCTCTGCAAGCCGCCCGAAGTAGTCTACGACAAACCCCAGTAGATGCACACAACTGGCCCCCGACTCAGGAAGGATGCAGTTGAGGAGGTGTAGGTGACCGCGGTGGCGGTAGCGGGGGAGAGATGCTTCTTGATCCGTCCCTCCCTTCCTGATAGACAAAGGAGAATAGATGGGCCCATGCGCGCGTCCTGCTGCCATTGTGTTTTTGAGCAGCAATGTGGACGTCCTGGACCCTCTGCTGCAACATACGCAATGCTCGAGACTCGTGTGTGGCTGCAGGCTGCTAGCGAGCCAGAGCGCCACCTGCCGTCGCCTTGCGATATCGTGGGGGCGCTCCCCTACCAGTGCATGGGGGGGCATCTTCTGACTGAACTTGAAACAGTGGCAGCAGCTCCGGTTCTACGCCCGCGTAGAGGTGTGAGCATAGGCCGTCCAGTCGCGCACGATGGTCAGCTGACTCACCAGATCGTAGCTCGGAGTCGCGACGCATGAGGTCGACCCACAATCGCCAGGGTCCCCTCTGTCAACGCCAAACTGAGTCTCCCCATCCTCGTCTTCCACATCATCCCTGACCCCAACAGTAGGTGAGTATGGCAGGGGCTGAGGACTTTTGAGCACAGTAATCTGCTGAGCACGAGCACGAGGGCACAGTGAGGCCTCCACGGCAAAATGATTCCTCGGTGGGAAGTCGGGCACCCTGGTGGGGGGGCGAGCACGCTTGCCAGGCAATCGCCGATGACCCAGTTGTCCAGGTTGGTCAGGTCCCCTGTCTTGGGGTCACGGCATGCGCCGTCAGGCGTGGATACTACGCGGGCATGCAGATGGGCGAACCATCCAGAGGCGTCCATGGCCTCTGGGGGGAAGTTCCAATCTCCTCCTGCAATGGATGGCAAATAATAGTGAGCAAGGCAGGACCCGATGGTCTGCAAGCGCTCTATGTTGTCACCTGACAGCCGTAGTACCTGCTCCATGTACATCCATGTACGCAGACTCCGCAATGAAACCATGACGTACGCCTCCGCGTACCATGGTAGCAACAGCGCATGATGGTACAAGCGTGCAAGTGTCAACAAAAGACGTGCGCACAGTCGCGCCAATCTGCTTTCCCAGGGAAATGCTTACACCATCGCGAGGTCCGCCATCAGGACCCGCATCTGCTGCTGTGATGACGGACTTCCACCCACGAGCGTACGGCCATTCTTGCGCCCTAAGAACCCCATCGCCACGGAGCTTCAGTTCCTGGGCAAAAGCCAAGTGCACGCCTGCATTCTGATCATGGAAGTCACGCATGTGAGGCCGTCCACTTCCATTGAACGGGGCGACCCTGGAATCTCTACGACGACTGACCTTGCGGGGAACGTCGTGCTGATCTCTTCCAACTGTCCTCGTCGCCCGACTGCTGTGCCTGGTCACCATGTGCCTCACCAATCACAACCTCGGCTGAACCTGCCACCGATGGCCCCGCAGGCGTGGGGGGTGCCTGTCTCCAAGAACGTGAGGGGGGGGCAGCGCGAGGGCGCAACTGATGGCAGAGACACTCGATACGGGGCGTTGGCGTGGCCTCTGTTGTCGCAGAGTGCGCTCAGCATCGCGCGCGCGATCAGGCATGCACCCAGCACGATACTGCGGCAAAGCCACACCTTCATCATGAGGGGTCGGGTCCGCACTGCCTTCCGGCGCAACAGCCATCTCCACATCCTGAGCACCAGGGTTCCCATCCTGCGGTGCAGGTGGAGGTGGCCCGTCGTCCAGGACATCACGAAGCGCGGCTGCCATGCCGATCGATGCGTCATAGACCCGCATGGCCTCAGGGGCCAGAGAGTCGGCAAACGGTTGGCCAGCCATCTCGCTAGCCAACAGAAGCCTATCACCTCGTCGATCTCGAAGGCGCTCCACCATCAAGTCACACCAACGCCGTCGGTCACGTAAGTGCATATCATCAAACCTCCCCAAGTGACGGAATAGCTGGGGCGCATGCTGCGCGCGAGCATCCAGGCAGATATGCTCCGCCAGGTCACGTCGCCGAGGTGGCGCGGGGGGCCGTGGCGCGCGAGACGTCGTGCTCGGCAATGCAAAGTTCCACGTACGGAATGCGCCAACGCAGCCAGCCATCTTTGGCCATCTGATACCCCCACGTAAGGACATCAGCAAGCCAGTGACCCACGAAAGTCTCCATCTGCTCATACCCCTCTCCAGGATTTGAGACCCCACCAGTAACAGTGGCCCCACCAATCGTAGTCAGTGTGTCAGCAGGGGGCCCACTTGAGACAATTCTAGCACTGACTGAAACGCCGTCGGTCATGTGCAAAGGCAAGATGCCACCGTGGCCCACTGCGTACTCGGTGTGCAAGCTGTCGCACCCTGGCACGACATGCTCAGCACACATGGGGGCATTGACCCCCCCCGTCGGGGGCGCCATGCATGCCTGAATCATCCAGGGGGGTCCGACCACCACGCGAGCTCTCCTGAATGCAGGGGGCTGGTTTGTCCGTCGACAGTCCTGAGTGGTTCGAGCACCCCGAGCCAACATGCGACCCAACGCACCCAGGACCAACATCGCCTAGCACAGGCGCCCCTGGACCTACATGCGAAGGGCCAACAGCCTCATCCCTGGGGGCGTGAGGCCGAAGATGTTGAGGAACGAAGCATGACGCGTTACCAGCAACGAAACTTCCATCCTCCGGGTCGCCGTCAGCCAAGATTCCGTTCAACATTGTACCAGTAACTTGATTGAGAGCAGCAGGTTGACCTTCAGCGACGTGGCGAGCCCCAGAACTGCCGTGGTCAAACTGCCCGAACGTCATGCTGCCGAGGAACTCATTATCCCCCTTCGCCGCGAGTCGGCCCCGAGCCCATGCCACGTGGCGTGGCTGGTGCTGGCCGCTCAAGTTCGCATCCAATCTCGGCGCCCCAAGGGCGAGCGTGCTCTGCAGTAGAAGACCCAGTGCATGGCGAGGAGTCCTCGCACATCAGCGCAGGCTGCCGTGGCTGCTGCTGCGGCTGCTGCGGCTGCTGCGGCTGCTGCGGCCGCTGCGGCCTGCCTCCCGACGGGGCCCGGCGGTGCAACCCGAAGGCCTTCTGCGGCACGGCGAGGCGCGCGGTGAGGCTCCGGGGCCTCGTGCCCGCATTGCCTGCTGTGACAGTTGCAGGAGCTGCTGCCACAATTCAGGAGGGGAAAAAAACACAGACACAATTAATCGTCGATCCCCCAGAAAATATCGGAAAATATGGGAAATGGGGGGGAAGACGAAAACCCTAAAAAATATATAGGAAAATATGGGGAATCTTTTTATTTGTGTGTATTTATTAGTGTATCCTGGGGCCCCTTCAACAATGCCCTGAAGGCGGCCCATGGCTTGATCAACGTTCTCGCTGGTGGGCGCAACCACGCCAGAGGGGCCACTGGCGAGCACAGCAGCACGCGCCGTTGCGACCTCGAGCTGCATGGCCTGAAGGTCGGCGTGGGCTGCCTCGGCCCTCAGCGCGCTTGGCCAGAGGAGAATCCTCCAGCTCCTTGACAGCCGCATCCGGCACCTCGACCTCCTTCTGCTTCGCCGACTGCCTATCCAAAACCCTCCGCAGCATATCATCAGGAGTGCGCCCAGCTCTCTCACGCTCCTCTGCCTCTGCGAGCTGGCGCTTGGCCGAGACCCTGAGGTCGTTGTCCTCCGCAGTCTGCAAACGACGCAGGGCACCGAGCGCGCGGCGGGCTTTGGCCACCTCGTCTGCCTCAGGCCCTGCTGCAGAGGAGGCAGCACCCCGCGCAGGTCCAGCCTTCCTGGCCGCAGACGGGCTGCGCGCCCGCATGCCAGGAGGCTGGGCCCCGTAGTAGGGTCTGGACGGCCCGTTCGATCTCGTCCGCACATGCAGTACCTCTCGTTGGTGCCGTAGTTCTTGCTGAAACCGCACTGGCTGGTGGCCAGGCAAGCCCAGCGATCGCCGCGATCGCCACGACCACGACCAGCAGCACGTTCATCAGTGGCGTCCGCCTCTGCCCATAGGCGGGCGGGGCCCGTGATGATCCCGTAGCCTCGCCACGTCACGGGAAAGCCGAAGCCGAAGGCGAGCGGATGCACGATGCCTGCGAAGCCTTCGATGCCAAGCTGGCGAGCGCGACCTTGTGTTCAGGCGAGCTCGGTCACGCGACAGCAGATGGCCTGCACCCTCCGTGGGCGGGTCGAGGGCAAAGCGGCAGCGCAGCGGGCCCAGGCTGGCCGCAGCCGCGTCGCGCCAGGCAGCGCCTGGGGCTGGGGGCTCCCAGATGGCGGGCCCCCGCGCCCCCCGCGGCAAAACGGCTGCGGGCGGGCGAAGGGGGGCCGCGCAGGAAGCCACCTGGGAGGAGGAGGGGGAGGAGGAGGAGGGGGAGGAGGAGGAGGAGGAGGAGGAGGAGGAGGAGGAGGAGGTAGGAGGGAGGAGCAGGAGCAAGGAGGAGGGGAGGAGGAGGAGGAGGAGGAAGTGGAGGAGGAGGAGGAGGAGCAGGAGGAGGAGGGTGGGGCGGAGGAGCCCGACGGCAGGGGTACACGTCGGTCGTTGGAAGTCGCCTTCTTACTTCAAGAGCGGGTTGGTTTTCCCTCTTCCCTCCTCCTCATGTGGTTGGGCGGAAGCCCAATCTAGTTCTAACGCCTTTCTACTTCATGTTCCGATCCACTTCTTCCGACCGACGGGTAAGGAGGAGGATGAGCATGATGCTGCGATCAAGGTGGGAGTCTGCTCGCGGGCGCCTACCGCTTCACGGTCACGGTCTCCCGCGTAGACGCCGAGGCGATCGGTCAGGGCACCGTGTTGGTCACCGGTTCCAGCCAGCCCGTGGTCTCCCTCGCTACGCCGGCAGCAGAAGTGTCTCCACAGCAACCACTGACGTTTTCGGCCACAATTGTCCAGTCAGCAGGCTGCACCGCGCCAGGTTGGAAGGCGTGGTGGATCGTGACACCAGATGGCAGCAGCGCGGTCCAGCTGGCGCCGTCGGCGGCGACCAGCTTGGTGGAGCTGTCGGTGCCCTCGCTGTCGTCTGCACCTGGCGCCTACTACCAGCTGCGACTGGTGCTGTCCGAGTCGGCGTACAATGGCTTCACAGAAAACAGCAACAGCGGTGTCTACGTTTTTGATTCCGCGGAGTTCCTTATCGACGAGCCACCCACGGGCGGCACGTGCGAAGTGTTCCCGAGCAGCGGCAACGTCACGCTGACGAAGTTCACCCTCGCCTCATTCAATTGGCTGGACGACGACTTGCCGCTGCTCCACAAATTCTCCAAATGTCTTGGAACCATCAATGATGGTTGCGATTCCTGGACCACTATCAGTGCATACTCGCAGAGCCAGACCAAACAGAATCTCATATTCGGCACGCCCGGGACGGTGATGATCGAGGCTAAGGCCAAAGACATGCTCGGCTCTTGCAGCACGGCTGTCACTGAGGTGGAGGTCTTCGAGCTGAGAGCAGCCGTCAGCGACGACGTTCTTCTTGATGTAGTTGCGTCGGTGGCCAACGTTGGTGATCCATTTGCGACCCTGGCGGCCTTGTCGGCGGTGGCGGAGAGTTCCAGCGGTGGGAACCAGGAGTTCTGTGGCATTTTACTGGAAACCATGGCGAATGGCGGTGCCCTCTCAGACCTGGACACGGAGAGCATTGACGCCACCACGACTACGCTGGCGAACATCGTGGCGTCGGCGTCCACGGCGAAGTCCGCGAGCTCGGGCGGCGGCGCCGCCCAGACGACGCAGGAGATCGTCCTGGACATGGAGGTCGCGGCGAAGGCAGCGACCATGGTCACGAGCATCGCGGCGGCGGCGACGGGGATGGACGAGGGCATGGCGGCGGGGACCGCCACGATGCTGATGAGCTCCGTTGCCACGCTGCTGAACACCGCCACGGCAGACCCGGCCACCACGGCCGCCAACGCCACTGCGGCCGCAGGCTCGGAGGCCACCGCCCTCTCGGACGAGCAGGTAGCCGAGCAGAGGGCCCTGAGCGGCCAGCTCCAGCGGGCCACCGAGGCCATCGGCGACGCCGTCCTCCGGGCCACCCCTCTGGGCGAGACGGTGATGATGAACACGACCAGCTGGGGGAACGAAAAATGGCATGAACATAAAAACTCGGAGGTCCGCGCGGATTGATTGGATCCGCACTGGATCCCCCCTCCCTGGCGCGCGGAGCGCGCCAGGGGCGGCGCCGGAGGCGCCGCCAGGGGGCCCCAGCGCCGATCCGAGACATCCACGCGGACCTCCGAGTTATTGTGCTCATGTCATTGTTCGTTCCCCGATCAGCGGCCTGCAGCTCAACATCATGAGGGCGCGCAGCGACGAGCTGGCGATGATGGGCCAAGTTTCCACCACCACTACCATATGTAGGACGGGGGAGAAGGGAGGACTGGAAGGTGCTCCTGCTCCTCCTTCTCCTCCTCCTCCTCCTCCTGCTCCTCCTCCTCCTCCTCCTCCTCCTCATCCCTCTCCTCCTCCTCCTCCCTCCTCTCCTCCTCCTCCTTCCTCCTCCCCTCCTCCTCCTCCTCCTCCTCCTCCCCCTCCTCCTCCACCTCCTTCTCCTCCCTCCTCCTCCTCCTCCTCCTCCTCCTCCCTCCTCCCCTCCTCCCTCCTCCTCCTCCTCCTCCTCCTCCTCCTCCTCCTCCTCCTCCTCCTCCTCCTCCTCCTCCTCCCTCTTCTGCACATGGCAGCGGTGGTGGAAACTCGGGCCCTCAGGCGGCGGGCGGCGCCTCCGTGGGCGGCTTCACGCTGCCCCCGCTGCCGGGCCTCGCGGGCCGCCGCCTGGCGTCTGGGCGCCGGCTCACGGGCGGAGAGGCCCTCGGCCTGCAGATGGCGAGGTTTTCGGGCGGGGCCAGGATAGGGCGACTCCTCCTCCTCCACCACCTCCTCCTCCACCTCCTCCTCCTCCTCCTCCTCTCCTCCTCCTCCTCTTCCTCCTCCTCCTCCTCCTCTTCCTCCTCCCTCCTCCCTCCTCCTCCTCCTCCTTCTCCTCCTCCTCCTCCTCCCTCCTCCTCCTCCTCCTCCTCCTCCTCCTCCTCCTCCTCCTACTCCTCCTGCAGAGCGTTCCAGAACGCTCTCAGAGCGTTCCAAAAATGCGCTGAGAAGGCCGCAGCGCCCGATATTTTCTCCAGGATCTCTGGATCTCAGAGATCCCCGATTGGTCCCTGGGCGGCGTTGTCCCTGCCCTGGCGTCGTGTCAGAGGTGGCACAAGAACCCCTTCTCGTACGCGGGCTCCAGCGCTCCGGCCCCGACCTCGAGCGGCGGGGTGGCTTGCCACGGAGAGAAAATCAGAGCCCCGAATCATCAGGGGTAACTCGGGTCAGGGATAACTCGGGTTCGTTTTTCGGGAATCCGAACCCGACTTACCCCGGACCCGAGTTACCCCGGATAACTCGGGCGTCCAGAGCCCCGAATCATCAGGGGTAATTCGGGTCAGGGATAACTCGGGTTCCTTTTTCGGGAATCCAAACCCGAGTTACCCCGGACCCGAGTTACCCCGGATAACTCGGGCGCCCAAGAAAAGGGAGGGGTCCTGAGGGGAAGCAGTCATGAGGCTGTCCTGCTGTCTGAACGGGCAAGGCCATGGGGGCAAATGCTTCGACTCCCGATCGCCGACCGATCGCCGATAGCGGCCTGATAGCCCCTCCCGCCCAGGAGCGTGTGGATTTGTGTCGAGGTCGGCGATCAATCGCCGATTCAAGCTCGATGTTTCCCCCCCTGAGCGGGTCCCCCTATGTCGTTCCCCCTCATGTCTTTTTGTCCATCCGAGGTGCTTCCTTGGCCCCAGGACTGTCAAACGACGGCTCGGGACGGGAGGCTGATCCCAGGCGGAAGCCCAGGGGTCCAGGACACGCCGCGCGCAGAGGGGGGGAGGAGGAGGGGGGGAGGCTTCTTAGGAGCACCCCTGCTCCTTAGAAAGGCGCGGGCTGTGTCCATACTTGTACAGCCCGCGCCTTCCAAGAAGCAGCCTCCTTCTAAGAAGCCTCTCCCCCTCCCCCTACCCCTTGTGCGCGCCGCCAAGAGGACCCCTTTCCATCAGGATCGTTTCCTTTCCTTCCAGGTGGCGAGCGCCCTGAGCATTGCGACGGACGGCGTGCGGTCCTTCGGCATCCGGCTTGACGGGGAAGAGGTGGCGGTGAGCGGCCTGGCGAACCCCATTATCCTCGAGCTGCCCAGGCATTCGAGCGCCGAGCGCAGGCGGCTGCTCGCGCACAGGACGCTGAGTGCAGGCCAGGATGACACAGCGGAGCAGGTGGAGGAGTGTATGTTTTTTAATCACACGAGTGAGGTCTGGTCTACCGAGGGCTGTTCGGTAGTGGAGATCCGCGGAGACACGCTGGTTTGCGCATGCAGCCACCTTTCTTTCTTCTCCTCTGCCCTCGGCAGCCTGTCCTTCCTCGGCGACTTTTTCTGTCCTAACGTGGCCATCCTCGCCCCTGCAGGATTTGCGAACCTGAGCCGAGGCCGGTGGGCGCATCAGCGAGGCGGGATCGTGCTCTGGACGCTGCTGACTATACATTTGGTCATCACTTTGGCGGCATGGAAATCGCAGAGGTCCAAGACGCCGCCCACAGTTTTCTTGTACTCCGAGGACGCTCGCAGCTACAAGAAGAGGGCTGTGCTCGCGAAGCTGGTGAGCACTGGGCGGAAGCACGGCAAGTCCAGGCCGAAGATGCTCGTCGTCTTCGCCGTGCACGCCGGGCTGAAGCTCAAGCTGGATTATGACTACGACGAGCTCTGCCGGAAGAGCCTGCGCGATATTGTTCGAACTCTAGTTTTCTACAAGATGATGACAATGTGGGTCACGGCCACCCTGGGCTTCTCCGAAGTGGACATGCGCATCATGCGCCACGGCAACGTGGTGGAGATGGGCAACGAGGCGAAGGGGGCCGCGGCCGACGAGCCTCGCGCGTGGGCACCCCGGCGAGTCTCGGGCCGTCAGGACCTCGCCACTTGGCAAGGTGCGAGACACTCTGACTCGGGGGCGGAAAAGAGGGGGGTGATGACTAGGGGGGGGGGGGGATACCATGGCGCGGGCCATGACATCTCCCCAGATTTCATGGCGCCTCTTCTTATTTCATTACGTCCCTGGCCCCCCCGCTGGGCCGCGCACATGCCGCTGGTCATGATTTGCACCCCCCCCTCTTTGACGCCCCCCTCTTTGCCGCTCCCGAAAGGTGCGAGACACTCTGACTCGAGCCAGAGCGATGGTGATGGCGTTGGTGCGGGCTCGGGCGGCGGCGTCGCCGACAGCTTCGCAGCCGTCCTCCAGGAGAAAATGAGCCTGCTCCAGGCTCGTCGGCGCAGCCTCGAGAGAGAGCCCACAGATGTGACTGTCCAACGGGGGGCGTCTGGGCTTGCGAACGACGCCGCGGATGAGGTGCTGAAGTTCTCCAGGGAGGTCGGCTCCCTTTGCAAGGCGTACCACCCGATCTACAAACTCGTGCTGAGCAACATGACCATGCCCTGGACATTCCAGATTATTGCGCTGCTCGACGCCGTGTTCGGCTCGCTCATGATGTCGGCAGCCTTTTACGGGACCAGCGCGAGCCCCAACGTCCCCGAGTGCGTGGGCCCAGACGACTTGCTGGCGAACCTCGTGCGGGATCTGTTCGTGACCTTGGCCTCTACGATCGTCAGCCTCGCTCCGCTCATCCTGGTGATGTCCCGCAAGAACCGCTCGATGCCACGGGCCTACTCGGCGGACCAGGTGCGGCGGAAGGTCCAGAAGTGGCTCCTTCAGGACTTCGCCATCGTGGCGGCTGGGCTGCTATGGTTTTCTTTCTGCGTCATGTACATAATGCTCTTCTTGGCGAACGTGAGCCAGCAGGATGCGGACCACTGGATCATCAGCGTGGTCACTCGCTTCAGCAGTTCGTGGGTCATCTTGCCACTGCTCCTCACCACTCTGTGGGTGATGGCGCTGAAATTTTTCGAGCTCTCCAGCGGACGGACCTTCATTGAGAGCAGCATGAGCGGGCTCTTGAGATCAATCAAACATGTCGGCCAGAAAGACGAAGGCGGCGGCGGTGGCAAGGAGGACCAGGCAAAGCCAGCCCGACTGTCCGTGGATCCGCCGCCGCTCCTCCATGAGGGGCCGGACGCCGGGGGGGGCGTCTGGCCGCCAGATGCGGGCCACGCTTGGCCGCCGCAGCCGCGGCCCCTCGGCGCTTCCGGGGTGGGGGCTCCCGATCGTAACGAGGAGCTTTTCTGGAGCTGGGTCGGCTACCTGCGAGGGCGGGAGCAGGCCGCATCCGGGGGGCCGATCGCCGTCTCCACGACGGAGCTGGCGCTGCCGGCGCTGCCCAGCACGCCGGCGGCCTCATCGGCCCAGTCGCCGTCGCCCTCGCGCACGCCGGTCTCCGACGCGGCGTGGCGGCAGACCGTGGCGGCACACGCCGCGCTCGTGGCGGGCCGACGGCCGCACGACCCCCCCGCAGGCGAGGGCGCCCTCCTCTCGGCGGCCCGCGGGGCCCCGCAGGAGCAGCGCCCCGCCGGCGCGGCCCCGGAGACGCCGCCGACGCCGCCCAGCGACCCGTCGGCCCCGCCGCTGCCGCTGCAGTCGCTGCGGGCGGCGGCCAGGGCCCCCCGGGGGCGGGCCGGCCTGGGCCTCGCCGCGCCCTCGGCGCGCGCCCTCGGCGCTGCCGGGCCCGCCGCCCGCGGAGGAGTGCCCCGCGTGGCAGCGCGCGGCCTGGCCCCTGCAGGGCCCGCGGGCCGCGGGGGGCGGCGCCCCCCCGGCCTCCCGCGCGCCGCCGCCGCTGGGCGCCCTCGCCGCGCCAGGAGGCGTCGAGCCCCCCCCGCGCCCGGAGGCGCCATGGGGTCGACCCAGACGGTGAGCTTCGTCGTCGTCGTCGGCGGCGGCGGCGGCGGCGGCGTCGTCCTCACCGCCGCTTACGTCCTCGTCCCCGCAGCCGTGGCTGCCGCCACCGCCGCCATGGCCGCCGCCGCCGCCATTGGGTCGCCAGCGAGCTCGTGGGCCGTGCTCGCTTCGACCTCGTCTGGCGGCACGTGCGGCCGGAAGACACAGAGCGAGGGAAGAGACGAACGCCAGAACGACCACAGGGGAAAAGAAACAACGAGAACAAGAACGACGGGGCGCGAAAACGAGGGACAACGAAAACGAGAAGAAGCACTGGTTTGGTCGATCCCTGCTGGAGGCGCTCGGCAGCGGCCTGCCGCCCCTGCCGCGCCTGGAGGCTTCCCGCCCGCCGCCGGGCTCCTGGGCGGACTGGCGGCTGCCGTCCCCGCCGCGCCTGGAGCGGGAGCACACCCAAAGGCCGTGGAGCACAGAGGCCGCTGAGCACTGGGCACGAGGGCCGCTGAGCACCGGGTGTTGTGCTGGGGAGGAGGGGGAGGAGGAGGAGGAGGAGGAGAGCTGGAGGAGGAGGAGGGGAGGAGGAGGAGGAGGGGAGGAGGAGGAGGAGGAGGAGGAGGGAGGAGGAGGAGGAGGAGGAGGAGGAGGCGGAGAGGAGGAGGAGGAGGAGGGAGAAGGAGGAGAGGAGGAGGAGGGAGAGGAGAGGAGGAGGAGGAGGAGGAGGAGGAGGAGGAGGAGGAGGAGGAGGGGGAGGAGGAGGAGTGGAGCGGTGCTTTCAAGGCTGCACCTGGGAAGGGGGCCTGCTGAGTGCTGGGTGTGGCCTCGGGCACGGAGGCCGCCGTCCCCGCAGGCGCGCCCATCCCTCTACAGGGGGAGTGTTCAAACGTAGTAAATAAAACAATGGTTTGGGGACGATGTTTCGACGATTTGTTTTTCAGGAGGGAAGAAACACACAGACACAATTAATCTTCGATTACCAGGAGAAAATGGGAAAATATGGGAAGTAGGAGGGAAGACAAAAACCCAGAAAATACTGGAAAATATGGGGAATCATTTTATTTGTGTGTATTTATGTGTGTGTCCTAGGGCCCCATTCAGTAAAACAATGGTTCGGGGACGATGTTTCGACTATTTGTTTCACCCTTTCTGGCGTATTTGCTTACACTAGTTTCTGCTTTCGTCCAAGGTCCGCCTGTCGGATGACATGCCCGACCTAACCTTAGCACTGATCACAAGAAAGAATATCGAGCACCAAGAAAGTGCCGAACCCAGAGGGGTTTTTACGTGTCGGGCCCTGGGAGGCAATGCTCGTTCGACACCTCGCTTGCGTGTCGGGCAGACGCTGCTTCGATGCTTTCTGGGGTGCTCGAGGCTATTTCTGGGATGTAGTCATGTAGTCCTTCAGCACGATCGGAGCAACATAACGTAACTATACCCAGATCTCAAACGACCCAGGCGTCCTTGATTTCGGCCACCAGGACTCGTCGTCGGGCCCCAGGGCCTCCCAAGAGTGGCCCGGGGGCGAACCACTGCCCCCTGGGCGGGGGTCGGGACCTGTGGGCCCGCGCATGGCAGAAATCGCATTAGCGCATGTCCCCAGGCCCACGACGCTTTTCGCAACGTCGACGACCCCAAGAGGTCTCGACTTAAGTCGGGCCTGTCCCTCTACAGGGGAATGTTCAACATAGTATTATCCCGGCAAAGCAACCTAACAGCGATGTGTAGGAGCATATCTGGAAGCATTCCCCTTAAGATTCAGATGAGAATCCTGTTGTAGAATTCTGCTGTCCTCGCAGTCGTAGTCGCATTCACGATGGCAGTCGCAGTGGCAACGGCAGTCGCAGTCACAGCCTCAGCCTCAGCCTGCCTCAGCCTCAGCCTCAGCCTGCCTCAGCCTCAGCCTGCCTCGGCCTAGCCTCAGCCTGCTTCAGCCTCAGCCTCAGTCTGCCTTCAGCCTCGGCCTCAGCCTCAGCCTGCCTCAGCCTCAGCCTGCATCAGCCTCAGCCTCAGCCTCAGCCTGCCTCAGCATCAGCCTGCCTCAGCCTCAGCCTCAGCCTGCCTCAGCCTCAGCTCAGCCTGCTTCAGCCTCAGCCTCAGCCTTCTGCCTCAGCCTCAGCCTGCCTCAGCCTCAGCCCTCAGCCTCAGCCTCAGCCCTCAGCCTCAGCCTGCATCAGCCTCAGCCTCAGCCTCAGCCTGCAGCCTGCCTCAGCCTCAGCCTCAGCCTGCCTCAGCCTCAGCCTCAGCCTGCTTCAGCCTCAGCCTCAGTCTGCCTTCAGCCTCGGCCTCAGCCTCAGCCTGCCTCAGCCTCAGCCTGCATCAGCCTCAGCCTCAGCCTCATCTGCCTTCAGTGCCTCGCCTCAGCCTCAGCCTCGCCTCAGCCTCAGCCTCAGCCTCAGCCTCCTGCCTCAGCTGCAGCCTCAGCCTCAGCCTCAGCCTGGCTCAGCCTCAGCCTGCCTCAGCCTCAGCGCCTCAGCCTCAGCCTCAGCCTGCAGCCTCAGCCTCAGCCTGCAGCTCAGCCTCAGCCTCAGCCTCAGCAGCCTCAGCAGCCTGCCAGCCTCAGCCTGCATGAGCCTCAGCCTCAGCCTGCCTCAGCATCAGCCTGCCTCAGCCTCAGCCTGCTCCTCAGCCTCAGCCTGCTTCACAGCCTCAGCCTCAGTCTGCCTCAGCCTCGGCCTCAGCCTCAGCCTCAGCCTCAGCCTCAGCTGCCTGCATCAGCCTCAGCCTGCCTCAGCCTGCCTCAGCCTCAGCCTGCCTCAGCCTCACCCTCAGCCTGCCTCAGCCTCAGCCTCAGCCTGCTTCAGCCTCAGCCTCAGTCTGCCTTCAGCCTTGGCCTCAGCCTCAGCCTGCCTCAGCCTCAGCCTGCATCAGCCTCAGCCTCAGCCTCAGCCTGCCTCAGCATCAGCCTGCCTCAGCCTCAGCCTCAGCATGCCTCTGCCTCAGCCTCAGCCTGCTTCAGCCTCAGCCTCAGTCTGCCTTCAGCCTCGCCTCAGCCTCAGCCTGCCTCAGCCCCCAGCCTGCTTGCCTCAGCCTCGGCCTCGGCCTCAGCCTGCCTCAGCCAGCCTGCCTCAGCCTCAGCCTCAGCCTCAGCCTCAGCCTCAGCCTGCTTCACCTCAGCCTCAGTCTGCCTCAGCCTCCGCCTCAGCCTCAGCCAGCGCAGCCTCAGCCTGCATTCAGCCTCAGGCCTCAGCCTCAGCCTGCTCAGCCTCATCAGCCTGCCTCAGCCTCAGCCTCAGCCTCAGCTGCCTCAGCCTCAGCCTCAGTCTGCCTTCAGCCTCAGCCTCCGCCTCAGCCTCAGCAGCATCAGCCCCAGCCTCAGCCTCAGCCTGCCTCAGCCTCAGCATCAGCCTGCCTCAGCATTCAAAATGTGGCCCGGGAATAAAATTTTGGGAACTCGAAGAACACGAAGTGGCCTACAGTTGGCTCGGGCATTCAAAATGTGGCCCAGGAGTGGAGTTCTGGGAAGTGGAAGAGCACGAAGTGGCCTACAGTTGGCTCCGGGCATTCAAAATGTAGCCCGGGAATGGAGATCTGGGAAGTCGAAGAGCACGAAGTGGCCTACAGTTGGCTCCGAGCATCAAAAATGTGGCCCGGGAATGGAGATCTGGGAAGTCGAAGAGCACGAAATGGCTTACAGTTGGCTCCGGGCACCCAAAATGTCGCCCGGGAATGGAGATCTGGGAAGTCGAAGAGCACGAAGTGGCCTACAGTTGGCTCCGGGCATTCAAAATGTGGCCCAGGAATGGAGTTCTGGGAAGTCGTAGAGCACGAAGTGGCCTACAGTTGGCTTCGGGCATTCAAAATGTGGCCCGGGAATGGAGTTCTGGGAGGTCGAAGAGCACGAAGTGTGTGACTGTTTGCTTAAAACGAGCCCGGCCCTGAGCCCGGCCCTCGCTGTCAGGATGCCGCCCAGACCTCCCTTCTGAGTCATCAGATGCTCTCTTTTGACGCCATTAGAAACCTATCAGTCTTCGCTGTTAGGTAAAAACATAGTCGGGAGATGATGTTTTTTCCCCATATCCTAAGATAGGGTTCTTGTTATTTATTGGACGCCGCCTGCGTCTCCTTCTTCTCCTTCTCCTCCCCTCTCCTCCTCATACCCAGACGTACTCATACACAGACTGACTCACACTCAGACTTACTCATACCCAGACTTACTCACACACACACACACACACAAAAATACTCATATTCAGACCTACTCATACTCAGACCTACTCCTACTCAGACTCAGTCATGCTGAGACTCACGCACGCCCCGTTCGCGGCCGTTTTGTGGAGATGCCTCAAGTGGTTTGCCTGTTTTCTGTCCCAACATCCTTCGCTTTCGGAGCAGATTTGGAGGATGTCTCGAGCGAGGCGCTCATTTTCACGTCCCTAAGGGCCTAAGGGAAGCCGCCGAGTGGTTATCTCACGGTCCCGTTCGCGGCCGTTTTGTGGGGATGTCTCAAGTGGTTTGCTTGTTTTCTGTCCCAACATCCTTCGCTGTCGGAGCAGATTTGGAGGATGCCTCGAGCGAGGCGCTCATTTTCACGTCCCTAAGGGGAGCCGCCGAGGGGTGATCTCACGGTCCCGTTCGCGGCCGTCTTGTGGGGATGTCTCGCGAATCCATTGGTCCTGTCGATTGGCATTGGCAGCGCAGAGCCTCTGGGAGGAGCGCATGCAGCGCCCTTCGCTGAGTGACGGTGGGCAGCGGGCGTTTCTCGTAGGCGCGGCCGTTCAGACGCGCTCGGTTCCACTGCACAGTCGTTTCCACGGCATCTTGGATTTCCGTTGCCTATGGATTCCCCGCTGCAGATTGGTGACTTGCGCATCCGCTCGATCCTCGGCCTCCTCTCCCTTCCCTGCATGGCCGTAGGCATTTTGGCTCAAGCAATTTTGGCCAAGGTTTTAGTGCGCCAGGTTTTTGCTGCGAGCGTCGGCCTCTACTACTCCGCCCCTGCCGCGATGAAGTGCATGGTCCTCCTACCATTGGCCGTCCTGCTCGCCGGTCATTGCCGCGCCGCCGACGACTGGACCGCGAACAGACCGTTGCTGCGTGGCCGACGACTGGGGAACGAGCGCGATCGGACTGCGACCATGGAGGAAGTATACCACGCCACCAGCGACGGCAACCCGTCCACAACCACGGATGAAGGCCACCCCGCTGCGAGCGCTGACGATCCGACTTCGACCATGGAGGAAGAGTGGGCCGCGAGCGACGACAGCCAGTTCACAACCACGGATGAAGGCCGCCCCGCCACGAGCGCTGACGACCCGACCTCGACCGCGGAGGAAAAGTGGGGCACGAGCGACGACAGCCAGTTCACAACCACGGATGAAGGCCACCCCGCCACGAGCGCTGACGACCCGACCTCGACCGCGGAGGAAAAGTGGGGCACGAGCGACGACAGCCAGTTTACAACCACGGATGAAGGCCACCCCGCCACGAGCGCTGACGACCCGACCTCGACCATGGCGGAAGTAAACCACGCCACCAGCGACGGCGACCCGTCCACAACCACGGATGACGGCCGCCCCGCCTCGAGCGCTGACGCCCCGACTTCGACCGTGGAGGAAGCCAACCGCACCACGACCGACGACAGCCAGTCCACAACCACGGATGAAGGCCACCCCGCCACGAGCGCTGACGGCCCGACCTCGACCGCGGAGGAAAAGTGGGCCACGAGCGACGACAGCCAGTTCACAACCACGGATGAAGGCCGCCCCGCCACGAGCGCTGACGACCCGACCTCGACCGCGGAGGAAAAGTGGGGCACGAAGCGACGACAGACCGCCAGTTTCACAAACCACGGATGAAGGCCACCCCGCCACGGCGCTGACGACCCGACCTCGACCGCGGAGGAAAAGTGGGGCACGAGCGACGACAGCCAGTTTACAACCGCGGATGAAGGCCCACCCCGCCACGAGCGCTGACGACCCGACCTCGACCGCGGAGGAAAAGTGGGGCACGAGCGACGACAGCCAGTTCACAACCACGGATGAAGGCCACCCCGCCACGAGCGCTGACGGCCCGACCTCGACCGCGGAGGAAAAGTGGGCCACGAGCGACGACAGCCAGTTCACAACCACGGATGAAGGCCGCCCCGCCGCGAGCGCCGACGACCCGACCTCGACCGCGGAGGAAAAGTGGGGCACGAGCGACGACAGCCAGTTCACAACCACGGATGAAGGCCACCCCGCCACGGGCGCTGACGACCCGACCTCGACCGGGGAGGAAAAGTGGGCACGAGAGACGACAGCCCATTTACAACACGGACGAAGCCGCCCCCAGCCACGAGCGCTGACGACCCGGCGCCTCGACCGCGGAGAAGAAAAGTGGGGCACGAAGCGACCGACAGCCAGTTCACAACCACGGATTAATGCCTCACGGCGCACGGGCGCTGACGACCCGACCTCGACCGCGGAGGAAAAGTGGGGCACGAGCGACGACAGCCAGATTACAACCACGGATGAAGGCCGCCCCGCCACGAGCGCTGACGACCCGACCTCGACCGCGGAGGAAAAGTGGGGCACGAGCGACGACAGCCAGATCACAACCACGGATGAAGGCCACCCCGCCACGAGCGCTGACGACCCGACCTCGACCGCGGAGGAAAAGGGGCACGAGCGACGACAGCCAGTTAACAACCCACGGATAAGGGCCACCCGCCACGGCCTGAACGACCCGACCTCACCGCGGAGGAAAAGTGGGCCACGAGCGACGAACAGCCAGTTCACAACCACGGAATGAAGCCACCCCGCCACGGGCGCTGACGACCCGACTTCGACCGTGGAGGAAAAGTGGGGCACGAGCGACGACAGCCAGTCACAACCACGGATGAAGGCCACCCCGCCACGAGCGCTGACGACCTCGACCGCTGACGAGCGACGACGACCTCGAGCGCCGACCCGACCTCGAGGAAAAGTGGGCCACGAGCGACGACAGCCAGTTCACAACCACGGATGAAGGCCGCCCCGCCACGAGCGCTGACGACCCGACCTCGACCATGGAGGAAGTATACCACGCCACCAGCGACGGCAACCCGTCCACAACCACGGATGAAGGCCACCCCGCCGCGAGCGCTGACGATCCGACTTCGACCATGGAGGAAGAGTGGGCCACGAGCGACGACAGCCAGTTCACAACCACGGATGAAGGCCGCCCCGCCACGAGCGCTGACGACCCGACCTCGACCATGGAGGAAGTAAACCACGCCACCAGCGACAGCAACCCGTCCACAACCACGGATGAAGGCCACCCCGCCTCGAGCGCTGACGCCCCGACTTCGACCGTGGAGGAAGCCAACCGCACCACGACCGACGACAGCCAGTCCACAACCACGGATGAAGGCCACCCCGCCACGAGCGCTGACGGCCCGACCTCGACCACGGAGGAAGGCAGCCACGCCTCGAGCAACGACAACCCGTCCACGTTCTCGGATGAAGGCCACCCCACCACGAGCGTTGACGACCCGACCTCGACCATGGAGGAAACTAATCCCACCCCGAGCGCTGCCGCGGCAACCACCACCAGTGGCACTGCCATGGCAATCACCACCGCAAGCGTTGCGACAGCACCGTCGCCAGTGCTGCCGCCGACGCCGGCAACGACGCTGGCCACCGCGAGCAGTATCGCAGCCAACGACAGCCAGTGGTTCATCTATCAGCCAGCCACCGTTCCCACTTCCATCGACCGTGCAATGTGTGAGGGCATTGTTCTCGCGGCTCATCCTGAGCTACCCGCCGAGCTCGATTGCGGAGAAGCGTGCGAGAAATGGACCACTCTTCGCAACTCAGTTGAAAGCGCTGTGATCACTAAGGTCGTCGACATTACCCTGGACATCATTGACATACCGATGACCGTATTGGCCAGTCTCAAGTCGTTCAACTATGCTCCGTTTGAAGCCGGCGCTCATTTCAGGAGATATGGCGCTCATTGTATTACAACGCAGTCGCTGGTCTGTGCAGGTGCTTTCTTCGGACTTTATTTCCTCTTACGGGCGGCGCGGCTGCTTGCCAACCTTGGCGGAGACATCTTCGTGCCACTGTTCAAGATGGTGCAGCTGAGCTCCTCCGCGAATCTAGGTGAAGAGTTCACCGCCGCAAACTGTTTTGATTTTGGCGAGGGAATCCAGTTCATTATTTACATAAAAGACTCCTTAGCAGGTGCTTACATGAACGGTGCCGGCTACGGGCAAGTAGGATGTGGCGTCTTGTCTTTCTGTTGCATCGTTATCAGCAAGTGGCTATCTGACGACGACGACATCTCCTCCACGACAGTCGTCTTGGCCGTATTTGCAACGGTTTTCTCAATCGCAGCTACCGTGTTCGACATGCTGGACTTCTTTTCAAATACGCTCGTGCTCAGAAACATGATCCATTCGATAGAAGAAGCTGCCCTAAGCAGTCGCGCGTTCAGCGACGGTACTGAACCATTTGCACAGTGGAATGGACCTGTCGAGGTCGAAGAGCAGATGAGCCTGTGGCTCGTAGTGTTGTATACCGGTTTGTCCATCGTTTTGCCATCTTTGTGTTGTCTAGGAATGTCCGGGTGTTTCTACTTTGTGAACTTTCTTAATTGATTCCGGCGTGGAGTGGGAATGAGTCGGAGACCCCGACTCCAGCAGCCACGCCGAGACGCAACGGCTCACGACCAGGAGCGGGCGTGGAACCCGTTCTCATCCAAGGTTCATGAGAACCCTTGCCAGCAGGGCAAACTGAGGATAGGACAACTCGTCATCCTCTTACTCCTGCTCATTCTCCTCCTGCTTCACCTCCTCCGCCTCCCCCTCATACTCCTTCCCCTCCTCCTTCACAAGCCCTCAGGCTCAACATCACCTCATCCGTGGGCCTGTTCAAGCCCGAACGTGCGTCTAGACGGCGCTGGCCACGCAGGCAGGGAAAGCAATTGTATTTTCAAAAGGTGGTCTCCTTATTACAAATTCAATAAGAAATGCAGAGTAATAGAGTCGCCATTCGCTTAAGTCGCACCCGGGCACGACAGTGTTGCCGAGCCCCATGCTTTACCAGAGCAAAGGTATATTTGTTACCTGCTCGGGCTCGGGCTCGGTTTTTGGCGACCGCGGCCACTGCTTCTAAGAATAGGCGGAGTAGGGCCACCATTCTTTCCATGTGCACCTGGACACAGCCATACGGCTGAGCCCTATGTTGCACAATAGCAAAGGTATATTTCTTACCTGTTATTGCTACTGTAGATCGTCTGGCCGAGTTCCATGTAGAGCAAAGGTATATCTCTCCCTTCCCTGTATGTCTGATTCTCCTTTCACCTCGAAGGCCTCCTTTTCTCCCTTACTGCCCCTTGTTTGGGGACGTCCACTGGAGAGCGAGAAAGGGCCAGGAATGTATGTTTCACGCAAGCGAAGAAAAGCAACCTATTTTATTGTCTTTTGGTCCACATAGGAAAACAGTGTTGTCGCGCTTGTTTTTCTTATGCGCATAAAATGCTATGCGTCGGAACCTTCGTTTTTATTGCCATCGATGTGCATGCCGAATAGATACTACACACCATACGTGTATCTTATTTACATTGCAATCATCATACATGTGTATCTTATTTACATTACATTGCACCTCGCCTTGCAATCATCATACGTGTATCTTATTACTTCACTTAGGTATCTTCCGAACCCCCACAGATAGCAAGGGGCGGTGGGCCTCCCTGTGGGGCACGATCCGCGCGCGGGGTGCGGAGCTCGCGGGGCCAGCAAGGGGGCCCTCGGAGCCTCGGGCCCCTGGGGCGGCGGCGGCGTGCCGAAGCGCGTAGCGCACGGAATACGCCCAGAAGTGCCGAAGCGCGCAGCGCTTGGAATACAGCGGCGGCGGCGGGGGGGGGGGGGGAGGAAGGGGGTTTTCTCTAAAGGGCTCCGAGAAACTGGCCCTCTGAGATTCGCGCGAGCTGTGCCCTCCGAGCCCGAAGGCCTCTGATGGCAAAAATCTGGATGCACAAGACAGGGCGCATTCCTCTTCCCTGCAAGTTCCATCCTTCCCCCCCCTCCTCACGTCTCTCCTCCCCGCGCCCCAAGGGCCGCCCCAACGGGCTCGTAGGGCCCTCGTAGGGCCCGAGTTCTACGCTTCAGGTGCGGCGCTGCTGCTTCTGGAGCTTCAGGTTTTCTTTCTGGAGCTTGCGATTTTCCTTCTTGAGCTCTACGTTAGACCGCCTGAGAAGTACGAGCGATGCAGCCTTCTTGATGAGGCGATCCTCGAGGCGGCACCTCCCCTTCTGAAGCGCCTTGATCAGGATACTCCTCGCCTTGATCTTCTCCCACAGCTCCCCGCGCGAGAGCGGCTTCGACATCTTGACAGCGACTGGCCGTGGTGAGCACCGTGGGGAGTACCGATGCGCCGATGCGGATGTGCCGCCGACAAGGCGACGCGTCGCCGAAACCCTTGGGCACGAGTGGCTACGGAATCAACGGCAATGCAGTTTGAGGATGTCTCAGGCGAAATCGTTCCCTTGGGGATCGCAATTTGCATTTCACCCCGATGACGTTTTCTTGACCTCTCGTTTCGAGCTGAGGAGCCCCCCGACGAAATCGTCATTTAGGGCGACGCGAGTGGGGATGTCTCAGGCGACACCGTCAGGTTGGTAAACCTTATGCGCCGTTTAAGACTGAGCACGTTCCTGAACATCTTGTCCAGTGAAGATGTCTCAAGCGAAGTCGTCTTCTGTGGGGAACCTGGCGGCGCTGGCAATGAAGTGCATTTCTTGTTTTCGGCATCGCAAACTCGAATCTGACCTAGAGTATATCCGCCCAGAAAAGGCAGTAATCATGTGGCCCTGAACACCACTACGCTGTACCCCTCATGCCCGAGAAAATGGCTTGGTGCATTTTGTAGGCCTTGCCGAAGAAAACCGCAACTTCAGCCACGGCGTGTTCAAATTAAATCCTCGAGCGAGGACGTGGTCCGCATGCTGCCAGCAAAGGATGACACATATATTTGGATAATCAATGCGCTGGCTGAACTCGCGCACTCAAGCAGCGGCGACCTCACCATCGGGCCCCTCGGGGGCGCCGTCGCCGTCCAAGCGGGCCTTCTTGGCCGCGGGCTCCCCGCTGCCGCCGTCCTCCAGCGGAGCAAGAGTTGCTGGGGGCTCGGCAGCGCTGGCGGTCACGAGCGGAGGCCGCGTTGCCTCCGACACGTAATTCTCTGCAGTGAATTCAAAGCTGCCGTTCTTCTTCAGGTCTGGCACCTTGATCAAGACATTGGAAGTCGCAGCCGGCCTGAAAATCACTTCGAGCACCTTCTTGACCTTTTCGCTCACGTCGACCCCGTCGCCGAACACCAGCGTCGGCGTCGACGAGGTAACCTCGCGAACGTCCCAAGCTGGAGGAACTGCAACCTTCGGCCGATGCACTGACACAGCATAGACGCTGCCGTTCTCCATTTCGATCTTGCCGAGTAAGAAGCCTTTGGATGCGACGGTCTGCGCCGCAATGGTCTTCTCCTCGGCGTCGCTGCCCACGAGGGCCGCCACGACCATGCCTGTAGGCCCGAAACGTGGGTTGGGGCAGTCTTGGGGCCCTCTCGGCGCCCTCTTCGGGCCCTCTTGGGCCCTCCCTAGGGCCCTCAGAAAGGTCCAAGAGGGGCCCAAGAGCTCTAGAGGGTCCAAGAGGGCCCCTCAGAAGGGCGAGTCCAAAGAGGGCCCCAAGACGGCTCCAAGAGGGCCCCAAGAGGGTCCCAAGACGAACTCTGTTGGTCTGGGTTGCCATTCCTACATTCCGTTGGAGGCTTCTGAGGGGCCCTCCAGGCCCCCCCAAGAGGCTCCAAGAAAGCCCCAAGAGAGTCCCAAGAGCTCTAGACAAACTGCGGGGAAACGAATTCTCCAACCCAAACACATGTGCTCCAATCTTACCCCACGGGAGGGCCCCAAGAGGGGCCCCAGGAGGAGTCCCCTTACTGTCAAAGTTGTTTCGGACCTGACCCGACCCCCAGTCCTGGGAAAGCAAGTCGGACGTTGCCCTGGTTGGCCTCGAAGTCGATGAAAACCTTGCCGCTTTTGACCTCCTTCTGCTTCAGAAGGGCACCCGCTGACGATAGGGCGCTCTCGGCGATCTCGGAGTAGCATGCCGACTCCACGGCCGTAGACAAGATGTGACCGACGAAGTTGGGAGACGCCAGGTGGACGTGGTTGGGGTACTCCTTCATGCTCTGGATCTTGGCCACCAGCGCCTTGGTGGAACAGTCCAGTTGGGCGACAGACTTCAGGAGGTCGAATACTCGTTGTGGCGACGGTGACCTGTCCTGCTCCAGCTGGACGAACTCCTTGATCAACTGGGGCTTGTCAGAGGCGCCCTCGCCCTTCGTGTTTCTCAGCTTCTTGCCGAGCTTTGCTCTGAGGTCAGTAATGCTGAGAAGGTTGGCCTGCATCCTGAGCAAGCCAGCGTCCTTGGGCGCCAGCCCTTTCTCGAACTCAGGATTCGAGAAACTCGCGATCGCGCCAGCCCAGCGCAGAATCCAAGCATCCATCTCGGCCTCGTCGCACGCCAGGAACTTCGAGTCGGACTGAGCCAGGGCTGCAAGCACGGACGAGTGCCTACTGACGTACTTCAGCAAACAGTCCAGTTTCTCAGCGACAGCGGCGTCGTGACCAGATGCGCTCTTGCCTTCCGTCTTGAGAATGTCCGACACCTCCATGAGGATGCACGCGATCTGCGTGGCCCTGTGGCCCATGAACTGCTTGACTTTGGAAGGAGTGTCCCAAATCGTCTTCAGCGTAGCCGGCGGCGCATCATCGGCAGACTCAGGAGGCGACCAGAACTTGGAGTCCGCATCCGCGATGGCGCTCGCAAAGCACATCGTGTCCGACGGGTAGCCGAAATTCACTTGCGCCAACACGGACTTGACGACCAAGCGCAACGCCTCAGCAACGCCATTGCGCTCGGACGTCCACTGCAGACCAAGATCCTCCTGCAGATTCCAGAGGCAAGTCACCGCATCCTTCACCACGGCATTCGTCCTAGGAGTCAACTTCATTTCCGCCGCATGGGAGGAGTACGTGAACGGATTCTTCTTCGTAAAGTCAATGACCTGGTTCACGAACTCTGGGTTCTCGCGCAGAGTCCGCTGCCGCGGCAATTCGTCAGCTGCCACTGCAGGTGAATCATCATCACCATCATCGTCGTGGCCCGTCTTGCTCTTGCCCCTGCCAGCGCGGCCTCTGCCTGTCTTGTTGGCCTTCGCGGCGCAGCCGACCATGTAGGAAACCAACGGGCCGATCTTCTTGAACACTCGGACGCTAACGCCTGCGCCAGTAGCATCTTCCAAGTCAACCTCGAGGACTTCGGCGTTTACCTCGTACTGCTGCTCAGTGCCCTTCCCCTTCAATTGCTTCGATTTCCCTGGCCTCGCCTCGACGGCGCCGCGGTAGAGCTGGAGGAAATGGTCGGGCGTCTTCACCAGACAAACCTTGCCGTCGATGCCGAGCTGGACAATGCGGTCCCACATCGCCTCCAGCTGTTCTGCAGTCGGCGTCGTGTCTTTGACCTTGCACGAGCGCCTCAGCGCGTCTGCGGCGTAGTCCACGAGAGGCGCCTTACTTCCATTGCCAGCCGCCGCCTCAGGAGTCCCCCTCAGCTCCTTGAGCGAGTTGAAGTCCTGCTCGGTAGGCTCCAACAGGCGCTTGATCTTTTCCATGCCACTCGACTGCGTGCCATCACCAATGTAGATGGAGACGTCGGAGTTCGGCGCAATGAATTTAAGCGTGGACAGGATCGCCGGCGCGCGCCCTGGCGACCCGCGCCCCAGCTGCCGAAGCGCGAAATCGTTGAGCACGAAAATCGAGTCGTGAGAAGTCTCCTTGATCGCCAGGAACTTGCAGGAGCGCTGGCAGAACTTCAAGTAGCGATCCCACACTTCGCCTTTTGCATCACCGAAGAAGTCGCATGCTTTGTCGAACGGCAGGAGCTTTTTGAAGAAAGGCGTCGGTCTCGAATTCAGCCATTCCTTGCGTTTCTGATAATATCCCTTCTGGCTGCCATCAACATCTCTCTACACTATTCCGTGCTTTTTGCGGTAGCACTCCCAGCTCTTCTTGTGCTCTTCGGTCTTCCGATACTTTTGGATGTGGCTGACGATGGACCCTTTCCCCACCAGCTGGTTCCCTAAGTCCACCAAGTACAAAATCACAATGTTCGGCGTGTCGTGCCTGAAGATCGTGACATCGCGCACCTGGCCCTCGATGGTGCGCTTGACGTTCTCAACGTCTGGAGAATCCTCGAAGGCTCCGTACGCAGCCTCTTTGAGGGTGGCACCGCTCACTACCCACAAGCGCTCAGGGAATTGAGCGGATGGATTCGATGCAATCACCCAGGTTTCGCTACGGACGCCACGCAGCACGCCGTCCTTGATGATTCCCTCCTCGTAGTCTTGGTAAGTATCTTCCTCGTATCTGTCGTTGAGCTCGTGGCGCTCGAATATCTTCTGGCCAGGATAACGAGAGTCGAAGTAGGGTCTGGTCACCACGCAGTCTTTGTTGATCACCCACTCATCCCATATTTTGTCTTGTAAGGAGCGCCCTGTGAGGCCTGGGTACATGGTTTTGATGTCAACGTGAGCCTCCGCATCGGCAGAACTCGCCATGTCTCGAATGGTGACGCGATGAATCAGAACGGTTCTCAGTGCGAAAAGGCGCCAGATGAACGAACTTGATCAAACAAATGCTACGACGCTCCATGGGTGCAACGTTGGTTTGAAGTTGTTTCGGTGCCCGCGGGCATCACAATACCGGCCCTGGGACCACGGCCAGGCCCCTCGAGGACCTCGAAATCCAAGTTTGAAGGTCCCGCAAGGGCTGCCAAAGCCTCAAATATTTGATTTCGAATGCCTCGCAGAGGCCCCCACGACGGCCCCGAGAGGGCTCCGAGACTTTTTTCTTCCTGCCGAAATCGTGGCGCGACGGACGAGACATGCTTCGCATTTGTGAAAACACGTGGTTTTCAGCCAAGAGGCCTCCAAGACGCCCAAGATGATGGCCTCCAAGACTGCCAAGATGGCCTCCAAGATGCCACCAGGACGGCCAAGATGGCCTCCAAGATGGCCCCAAGATGCCTCCAAGACGGCCCAAGATGCACCTAAGACTGCCGTAGATGTGCCCGCCCACGGTGTGATGCGTCTGATATTTTTATCGCCTGTGGCGAGCTCTCCAAACACAGCATAGCATGTGTGTGAATATTTTATCGTCTGTGGCGAGCTCTCCAAACACAGCATAGCATATGTGTGAATATTATATCGTCTGTGGCGAGCTCTCTAAACACAGCATAGCATATGTGTGAATATTTTATCGTCTGTGGCGAGCTCTCTAAACACAGCATAGCATATGTGTGAATAGTTTATCGTCTGTGGCGACCTCTCTAAACACAGCATAGCATATGTGTGAATATTTTATCGCCTGTGGCGAGCTCTCCAAACACAGCATAACATGTGTGTGAATATTTTATCGTCTGTGGCGAGCTCTCTAAACACAGCATAGCATGTGTGTGAATATTTTATCGTCTGTGGCGACCTCTCCAAACACAGCATAGCATATGTGTGATTTGTTTTATCGTCTGTGGCGAGCTCTCCAAACGCAGCATAGCAACTATGTGAATATTCAATCGCTTCGCTCATTCCGCCTGCCCATATTGTAGCATCGCTGGCGCTTGCTCGCGTGCTCGGGGGGTCATTCGGCGGCCTCCTGGGCTGCTTGGGTGCCTCTTGGGAGCCTCTGAGGAGCCTCCTGAAGCCCTCTGGTGGGGGCCTCTTGAGGCTTCTAGTGGCCTCTTGGGTCCTCCTGGGGGCTTCCTCCTACTCCTGCTCCTGGCTCTGGTCCTGGTCCTGCTCCTGCCTCTCCTCCTCCTCATTACCAGTGACCTCGAGTGGCGCTCTCGACATCCATCTTTCAGTGCGCCAATGCGGTCACTCCAGCACGAACGACGCTGCGCAACACCTGCAAATATGTCCAACTAGGAGCCTGGCCAAATGCGCCGGCGCATCTAATTTCAAGCGCCGTGCGCGCGCACACACTTCGTCCAAGCACCCCGAGTGGGCGATCAGGCCACATGCCGCGCACGCAGAGTCGTCTGCCTCGACCCGTTCATGACACACGTTGCACAAAGCTGCGCCGAAAAAGAGATCACTATCCACCACTCCCCGAGCCTTCCTGATGAATCTGAAGGCTGAGACCACCTGTTCTGGCATCCTCTCCCTCATATCTCTCGGCTTGACCATCCTGACAGTTGTGTGGAACACGGGGGAGCAACGATCGCCTGGCGGCAGTCGGCGATCTTCGGGTCTCGACGGGCGGTGCTTGTAGACCACGCGCATGTCAGAGTCGACCCGAATCCTCTGGGGAGCACAACGAATCCTACCTCGGGGCCCTCTTGGGCCATCTTGTGGCCGACATAATTTTCACGAGGAGAGGGCCCAAAGTGTTCTGGGGAGGGTGAACAAATCCAAAATCATATCCCATGGCTCCTCCTGAACAATCTTTCTGCCCTCCTGGAGCCCTCTTGGGATTATCCCAGAGCCCTCTTAGAGCCCCTGCTGAGGGCCCCCAACCCTAGGTTGGAGCCCTCTTGGGGGCCTCTGGAGCCGACTCGGGACCGTTGCCGTCGTCGTCGGGCGTCCGTGCGTGGCCGTTACCGTCGTCGTCGGCGTCGTCGTCGCCGCCGCCGTTGCCACTTGAAAAACAGAAAGTCCGGAATTCCATGTTTTTCAAGTTGCTCCAAGCGTGTGGGAGGTGTCGTCGTCGTCGTCGTCGTCGTCGTCGGCGTCGTCGGCCAGCGGCGGCGGCGGCGACGGCGACGGCGTGACAGAGGCGATGGGCCCTTGCAGCCTGGTCCTCATCGGCTCCAAGAGGGCCCCAAGGGGGCCCCAAGAGGGCCCCAAGAGCGGTCATCTTGGATCATCATTACTCCGAACTCCCAGGGTTCCATCGCCCCTCTCCGAGGTCGACGTCCTCCCAGTACCACCAGCCCAGCGAGGTCGCATGCGCCCCTGCTACCACGCTGGCCACGGAGAAGAGGGACACGCACTTGTTCGTTGGTTCAGGCACGACGTGACCGCCAGACATCAAAGACTCCAGAAGGCTCTTGAGCCCGTTGTAGCTGTCCCTGGCGGACGCCTTGGCTCGATTGACACGGAGCAGCTCATCTCGATCTCCGTCGTAGTCGTCGCAGCTGGCCGCCGCGCGAGGACGAGGCGGCCGAGGTCGATCATAGACGGCGTCGCCCTCGGCTTCGTCTCCGCCCATCTCCATGCGCACCTTCGCTGCCTCGACGACCTCCTCGATGCTAGTGTCGTGGCCACCGCATCCAGCCTCCAAGTCCTCCCTCTCGCCAGGGTCCAGGGAGACGAGATACTTCGTGACCTCGGCGACCTCGGTCGCCTCATCGCCGTCCTCGCTGTCGTCGTCCTCCTCGTCGCCATTGTCCCCATCGGCCGCGTCGTCGCCGTTGGCCCAGGCTATGGCCATGGCGACCGCCTCTTCATCTACCTTTTTCAACCTTTTACGTGCCTTGGCGCATTGCAGCGGGAAACCATCCACGACTGATGCCTGGAACGTGTTGTCCCACTTGAGCTGCGCCGCCTGGAAGCTCAAGTGGACCTCGAGGCCGCGGGGCCCTGCCTGCTGGATCAGATGCCCAACTACCCAGTGGAATTTGCGATGCGCAATCGGCCTCTGCAACCTGACGACGCCCAGCCCGCCAGGGTTGACAGCATCAAAGTTTTGGCACAGCGGTGCGATCCAAAAGGTCGCTCTCCCGACCTTGCTGCTGACGAGAAACCACTCTTCGACGTCTTCGCCCTCCTCGCCAAACTTGTGCTTCACAATCACTGCGTAGGCAGACGATGGGCCAAAGCTCGCACCGACGGTAGACTCGAATGACTTCCGCATGCTCAGCAATATCGCCGCGCATCGGTCGAGAATGTTCTGGGGAAAACGCGGATCAGGCGCATGGTCCATCATTTCGCCGCCGTGCAGTTGGAGCTCGAGGCCGTCGTCGTCGCCCCAGTCGTCCTCCCCGCCGCGATCTGAGTTGGATCCTCCAGCCCCAGCAGCAGCCCCGCCACGTGGATCATCTCGGTGCCCGCCGCAATCAGCAGCCACGAACTCCGCGTCCGAATCCATATCCATGGTAGCGAGAGCGTCGTCGTCAGATTGGCCGCCCACTGGGCCATCCTCGACGGCGAGGGCCTCGACGGCGTTGGAGTGAAACGCTGCCAGCGCCAGCGGTATGGCGTCGTAGCTGTCGGCGTCGACGGAGCCGTTGGCCGCGCCCTTGAGCCTGTCCTCCAAGGATTTGCAGAATGCCATGGTGGTGGCGTGGCCCTCCGCCATATCCTCGATCAGCTGATCGCGCCTCTCCTTTGCATCTCGCCGAGCAGTCCTGGAGGATTGGTCCCCGCCAGTGATACCCGACGTTTTCTTGAGCGTAAGCCTGCTCGACATGAGTTTTAGCTTGATGCTGGGCGCCACTTTGCCCGTCCACTTAAGTATCGAATTGCACCCCTCGACGTCGCGGACGGACATCTTCAGGATGGACGCGGCGTCGGCAAGCAGCGTCCAGCAGCGACTGCAGAGAGTCCCGTCAGCTGTTGCCTGCTTCATTTCCGCCTCGAACGCCGCCCTGAACTTCATGGTCGTGTCGTCGACGATCCCAGCGTCCGTGAGCAGCTCGTGGGCGATGCGCCCCCTCCGCTCGCACCTGGCGTCGGCAGGCGAAACAACCATGTAAAACAGTCGGAAAGGGTACTGCTGGCAGCATGGCTGCACGACGCGCCGATAGAACTCGGCGTGCTGATCCAGCGCCGAAGAGACCGCCTCGCAAAAGAGCTCTTCCAGCGAGCCCGCGCCGTCATCATTGAGGTTCGGTGCACTCAGGACCTCCTCCAGCGGGGTCAGCCACACCTCTGTGCGCAAGGGCGGCCAGGAGCTGCAGGACGGGCAGACGGCATCTGAGGTAAGTCGATCGGCCCCTTTCCCCCAGCGATCATCGCCATCCTCGTTGCCTGCATCCCTCTGTTAACCCATCATCCTTGCCCCCAGCTCGCGAACGACTCACCCCATGCGTGCCGTCTGCCTGCCCCGTCGCCAGCCCCGCGCCGCCCGCGCCCGCTGCCTCGACGAACGACTCCTCGTCGAGCAAGCGCGCGATGCCCTCGTAGATCTGCTTGCCCTTGAACCCAATGAGTTCGACGAGCATCCCCGATTGCGAACCTCCTTCCTGCTTTTTCCTGAGCCATCTGGAAAAATGTTCGGCGCCCCACCTGGACGCGTGCGAGACGACGTATGATGACCAAAACTTCATTGATTGCAAGCCAGCGATGGTCGCCTTCTGGAACTTGCCCTTGCGCTCCTGGAAGTGTTTCGCATCCTCTTCGAATGTCGACGCCAATTCCACCAAGTCTGCATTCGCCTTCTGTTTTTCGTCTTGCCGAGCAGCTTGCGCACCCGTTTCACATGGGTGTCAAACTCAACCAGCGCCTTCTTCACCACCACTGGCAGTTCGCGCCACAGCCGAGCTTCGTGAAACCATTCTTCGCACGCAAAGATAGAAGACCATCTTCCTTTCAAAAGGCGCGGCGGCAGGCGCCGAACGAGTGCTTGCATGCCGCTGCCTGGCCCGAAGTCTCTCCAGGCGTGCTTGAAGCGGAGACCGTTTCCAGTTGAGCGAATCGTGTTCGTGATAGTAGCAAGTAAACTCCAGTAAACGTCGTACCGCTGTACATTCACCCCAGTGATCAGGGCGTCGATGTGGTCCAAGCAGAATACGCGAGTGTTCCATGCATTTTTTTGTCCAGCGACGTCCTCAGCAATAAGATTGGCCGCACTTTTCTCGTCGCCACCCTGATCGCTCGAGAAAATGCACCACATCAGGTGGGAGCCCAAGTCGCCGAAGTCGGAGTTCCACGCTGGCACGCCCACTGCCTGTGTGTGTTTGATGTACAAAGCCTTGACTTTGCCACCTGTGCAGTTCAGTACGGGTTCGTTAAGGCATGGAGTGACGACGCGACGATCTGACCTGGCTCCGGCATCATCCCTGAAACACGCATCGACTGCACAGACGTGTACTTTGTAATCTGCATTTTGTTTGCCCACAGTTGAATGTGCAGCGTCCCCTCTGATTGCAAATATCGCCCACGACAGGATGCCAGATTCTCCTGCGGCCCCGCGAGTATATAGCAGGCACCGCTGAAAGAAACGCTGTGATTCAAGCCAAATGTTTGCTGCTGCTATGAATTCCCATCGTTCCACCGATTGTCTGGATATATCTAAGTCCATGGTGCGAGTGAGGCCCAACGTACCGATGTGGGATAAATTCCGAGACAGCGCGATTGCATAGCCTGCTTTCGCTGGGATCTTGGACGTGTACGTTGCTCCTTTTTTCTTAATGCAGATCGCTGTGCTGCGAGCCACGCTGGCGGCAATTTCCGCCCTGACCAACTTCTTTTTAACTTTGTTTAATTCTTTTTTCAACAGCTTCTTCTCTATTTCTTTTCGTTGAGCCTTGGTGACGTTTGACTTAGCGCAGCTTTCTTTTTTTTACTGGTGGAAAGTTTGGCCTTTGCTTCGGGCTTTGCCACTATTGCCATTGCCTTCGCCGATGCAACCATTTTTTCCCGAGCCACTTCAATGAGGTCCATGCATTTTGGCAACGGCAAGCTCTCACCCTTCCCAAAATAGTTCACTCCATGCAAAATGGCAACTGCATCCATCGTACGCGGGTGAGGACATTTCCTTTTGAGCTGGCCCACGTTTCTGAACTGTTGAGCACCGAGTGTGTTCAAAACATTGAATAAGCATGAAACCAAGTCGTCCCTTGTTTTGAAATGGCATGTTCCGTTTGATGTGAGAGAGCACTTCGATATCAGATGCAACGCGATTGGATGCTCCACGTCCGACATATGGAATCCATCATATGGAAGTGCAAGGACGTGTGCAAGGAACCGAACACCCGAACACGTTGAGCCAGAACGGCTCTGGGTGTAGGAAGATGGAGGTTCGGGAAAGGAAGGCGAGAGCATTCGATATCAATCGTAAGATGCATTGTGCTGAGAATGCCAAAGGATGCAACGGTGCATTGCCTCAGAAATCCCGATAATAAAGAGTCCTCCTATTGGTTGCGCCATAGGTTGCGCCCTGGGGCGCCCATAACCCTCACGCGCCCTCACGCAATGTTATATTAAATTATATTGCGCGAAGCGCTCAGATTTTATGCCGGAAAAAACATATGCCACGCAACGCTTAGGATTTATGTCGGATTAAAAAAAAACAATCGCTGGAAGAGGTGATCGGGATCATAAGGTTTTGGGCCTGTTTGGGGAGCTCCCTCTACCTCCCCACCCCTTGTTTTCCTTCCTCCTCCATTTCTCCCTATAGCCTCCTCTGCTACCTCGGGCCAATCTTGGTCGCTGCTGCGCGTGGGCAGCGGGGCGCCTCGGTTTTTCCAGCGCGCATGGTTTTTTTTTCGCCGCAGATGAGTCCTGTGCGCATGTAGATTCCGCCCCGAAGGTCAGGGCGCTCCAGGGCGGTCGTCTCGAACGCGGAATCTGCGTCGTCGGTGTTTGGCGCGTTCGGGCCGTTGCAGATATTGGGGGCAGGAACTGGGAAGCAGAGGAGGATGAGGGAGAGAAGGAGCAGGCCATGGCGGAGCTGGAAAGTCCCACTGAGCAGGAGGAGGGAGAGGATGATGATGATGATGATGATGATGGTGATGTTGCGGATGATGATGATGATGATGATGATGATGATGATGATGATGATGATGATGATGATGATGACGATCATGACGATGATGACGATATTGACGATGATGATGATGATGCTGATGTTGATGCTGATGCTGATGCTGATTATGCTGATGATGATGATGATGATGATGATGATGATGATGATGATGATGATGATAACGATGGTGATGATGATGGTGATGATGGTCAGGATGATGCTGCTGCTGATGATGATGATGCTGATGGTGATGGTGCTCATGATGATAATGCTGCTCATGATGATGATGAGGAGGAGGAGGAGGAGGAGGAGGAGAAGCAGGAGAAGCAGGAGGAGGATGAGGAGGAGGAGGAAGGGGAGGAAGGGGATGAGGACAAGCTAGGTGCGCTCGCGTCATATGTGACGTCCCTACCCTCTCTCCCATCCTACCATGGCGTACATCTTCTCTCTATTCGCACAGTCGGATGTCGAGTAGAGTAATGATCCCGAGAGGGTGCGCGATGCATCGTAGAGCACGGCATAGCAGGGCGTAGAAGAGCACGGCAAAGCGTAGTATGTCATAGCACGGCGTGGCGTTGCATAGTGAAGAATTGCATCGCAAATTATTGCAACGCAAAGAGCGGCATCGCACAGCGGCACAGAACATAACATGGCATAGCATGGCCTTGAAGATCAGAGCGGCGTAGCATGGCATAGCACGGCGTGGCACTGCGTGGTCAAGCATTGCATATCCTAGCAGTGCAGCTGAAGGCATGGCATTGCACAGCTGGACAAACACATAGCATTGCATTAGATGCCGTGGCATGGCACTGGAAATAATGACGCCAGCGCTGCAGCGGGAGCACGATTCGGAACGAGCGGAAGCGCAAACTTGAGAACTCTTCTTGGCAGAGCGCATCACCCCAATCAAGGACTTCAGCGACCTCGAGAACTGGGATCGCGACCCAGATCCAACCATCCTGGTGGCCAACCTGTCGCACATTGCTGCGCAGGCGGAGGTGGAGAGGGAGCTCACGCCCTGGCTTCAGGAGGCGGGCTTGCAAGATGGGCAGTGGAAGATTCATGGCAGCTCGCCAGGTAAGCTCGCGTCTATGTGGGTGTGGACAAATCACCGAAGCAGGTGCGGATGGAGGTGCAAACGAAAAAGTTGGCGCAGATCACGAAGGACATTCACGAGGCGGCGAGGGTCAAGCACGACAGGAACAAGGGAGTGGTCTACATCGATGGGGTGCCCACGGTGTCGGTGTCTCCTGGAGATTCGGTTTCGGCGCGTTCTCGTCTTCTCTGGAACTATGCTGCAGTCACTGACAAAGGTGTGGACCAGGCGAAGGTGCAGGAAGCTTTCAGTTCTCATTTCTATACGGAGGAGCGGGCAGCGCAGTGGAGTATTTAACCAGCTGCTGGGAGTGTGCGCCAACACGAAGGGACTGGGTTCGGCGGAGATGGTGCGATTGGGAACATGGAGTTGTCGTGCTCTGCTACATCATCAACAGGATACTCGACAGAAGAAGTGTGCCAAGCTTCGAATGTTCCTGCAAAAGAATGACATTCTGGGTCTTCAGGAAGTCCATGGTACGGAGGCGGAGTTGGCCTTTCAGTTATACTTGCGCAGGCTGGACTATGCGATGGTGGGATCAATTCCAGAGCATGCTGCCGGTGGCGTTGCATTCATTCTGCCGCGCATGACACAACAGACGTTTGATGACGGAGTCGCCCAAGGTCGGTTTCGGCACACTGTCCTTGTCCCTGGACGCGCACACAGGTTGGCTTTCAAGGCTGAAGGTGTTCACCCGACCGCCGCCGAGACGACGCAGGGCGAACACTCACAGAGCATGCTGGTGATCTACAATATTCGCAACTATGGCCTCACAACTGATCAGGTGGATTCTCTCACGGCACGTATCAAGGCCGAGATTGATGTTGCGGCGGCGGCTCCACATCGTGTCATTGTGATGGTTCTTGGAGACTTCAACTTTGCGGTTGATGCCCCCATGTACCTGCAGGTTCCCCTCATAGACAAGGGTGTGCATGTGCAGCCACTGCAAAGGGAACACGGCTCATCTTGGTGGCAATCGCTCTCTGAGTTGGTGGAGCTGGATCCTGAGCGCCCGACACGCTACATGGCGGATGAGCAGCGGCTGTCAGCGCTTGACAAGATCTTCACGTCCATTCCGCCGTGGCTGCTGGTCCAATGGAATTTGACGGCTACTGTGTTGGCGACGCCTGAGTCATTGCATGCAGGTGGCATCTCCGATCATGCACCAGTCTCAGTCTCGTTCTCGTCGCGACCTCTACGACCTCCAGATCAGCTGCCTATTCCTGCCTTCATCTGTGGAACTCTGGAGTTCAAGGAAGCACTGGATTTGGTCACCCAGCAGTCGAATCTATTGAGGCCCCCGCCCATCCCGAAGTGGCGTGAAATGAAGAGACTGATCCGTGAGGCCTCTCGTATTGCTAGGGACCGTCTTACCTCCTCCTCTTCCTCTCCCCTTGAGGCTCGTCTCCTCACCTTCCGTTCGATTTCCAGGGCGGTTCATTTTGATGATTTGCGTCTGGCTGAAACGCTCCTCTCTAGGACTCAGTTTGCTGCGGATCACCTGCTGGTTGATGCCTCGACTAGCACGGTGACCCTGAAGGACCCTGTGACTTTTCGGAGGCAATACGAGAGTCTGCGTCAGGAGATTTCTGATGCTCGCATCTCTGCTGCCGCCACGCAGTCTCAGAACCCCAGCGCGCCGTTCCACGAGAAGAAAAGGCTTCGAGCGTATATGAAGGCTGAGAGGCGCAGGGGAAAACTGTGGGCTCCTAAGGGGAAATCCCTCCCGCTCCAGGCCCTTGAGGACCCCTCCACTGGCTCCCTTCTCACCTCCCCGTCGGACATGCGTCAAGCCCTCAAGGCCCAGTGGGCCCCTGTTTTTGCCTCTAAGACGGCCCCGCTCGAGAAGCTGAAGAAATATCTCTCGCTTAACGTGAAGCCGTTTGACTGGTCGACAGTTGTGCCGCCCACGCAATATGATATAGAGCGATTGATTTCTCGTGCTTCGCCGACTGCCCCAGGGCCCGATGGGATCCCATATGCGGCCTGGAGGCGCGCGAAGTTAGCACCTGTCATTCTTCATGACCTCCTCCTTGTCCTCCTCAGTGCCCCCCCCCCTCCTGTGGAGCTCAATGAACTTTTACTGGTGTTCGTTCCGAAGGGACATAGGTTGGAGGACTCATCGTTTGTGGTCCGAGAACCGGCCACGACTCGGCCTTTGGCTTTGAAAACATACGGATGCGAAGATCTTAGCCTCGGCCTGTAACCATAGTCTCAAGCGGGTGTTGA